ACGTCAGCAATTGTGTTCTAATAAATTCTATATTAACAACCTCGTGTCTGCTTATTGATGAAAAACATTGAATTATCAATTAATGCCGAGGTTAACAGAAAGTCGGTCATGGGAAAATCTATAAGTTTGACAGCCGATGTAAGTCGGTACTTATGATTCCGTCTTTCATTTGTGTGGTGTGGGATAGTCCTAACATCTTACGAACTGCCCTTGTTGAGCTGATGCGAGATTGGTATAAGTTGTCTTTGTTTTTCCTTTTGTTGTTGTTCGCTGGCTAACGTTTCGATGACTTCACACCCTCCCCCCACCCTCTTAAAGCCGAGCTGTTGCGTGTGGGATTACCTGTTTTCGTCACCCCACGTGAACAACACGCGAAGTCGTCGAAACGGGTGATCCCACACGCAACAGCTCGGCTCTAAGGGTGGCGAAGTCGCCGAAACGTCAGCCACTGAATAACGGCAACAACAACAACTTATACCCACGTCGCGTCAGCTTAACGAGGGCAGTTTGTAAGAATATATATATATATATATGTATATATATATATATATATAGACGTATCGATTATTTATGCTGAGGTTTATAACAAGCTGATCTTTTGAATCTTAACGTCATCTTCTGATAGCGTCGTCGACGATACCAAATGAACTTTCATCCCACTTACGCGGCGTCCAAGTTGTGGAGGTCGTTAAGGCAGAAGAAATGGTAGAGTCGAAAAAAAATGTTTCGCTCCGGTTAACCTTTGTCGTCTTAACCACACCTCGATGTTCTCCTAAGCTTCCTAAAGCAAACGTTTCCTTCTAATTAGCGCTAGAACTACATCGTCCATTCTGCTAGTTTCTCGACAAGGATTCATATAACTGAAGCAATCGGAGATATTGATCCATTGAAAGTGAATAAGTTATCAGAAACGAATCTATTTCTCATGAATGCTGTTTGCTTAGGATTCGGTCAATTTTCTGCAGACTCTGCAGAAATCAACAGTTGTTCGTGCTGCCTAACTAGTGCATGATATTATCGGCCAAGAGAGGCAATGTCTCAAAGGCAGAGAGAATGCCACCTTTCGCCATCGACTTCCACTTCCATGCCATTCTATTCCAGGTTTTTCACAACGCTTTCGAGAGTCTGTCTAAGTAATTCCAGCGAGATAGTATCATCACATCGGAATTCTTTTTTACAGTAATGACAATTTCATTGGAATCCTCGCCGTGAAGTTTTTATAGCTCACGAAAGATCTTTACGTATTGAGCAGGGACACCCTGGTAGTGAAAAGCGTCTTGGATCGCATTCCTCTCAGCTGAGAATAGATGAAGGTGAAACAGGGCGAACCCTTGTGCTTCCGCAATACTTCTGCGAGTTAGTGTTTCCTTCTTGCGCAAAGTCGTTATTAATAAAAAGATTTATTCAACACTGGCTAACCTTTCGGTGGTTTTGCCTCATTCAGAGCCATTTTGTTCTTCTCAAGTGTTCCAGTTATTTACTCGAGATCAGCCGCATAGAGTCTTAACTTCCACGAGCTTTCTGTGGTTACGATCTATCGTTAAACCCTTCTCGAAACCCTACTTTTTGGCAATGTCGTGCTTCGTACAATGTTCTATCAATATGGTTGAGGATAACGCAAGTGAAGACGTTCCAGAAAGGGACACGTCACACAAATCGACGACAACCGAATATATCCATCGCCTTCTTCTTCATCACAACTATGGCGGTATTATGAATCAGTAGGCATTTATTAAACAGTCACCTCATTCGAATAAGGTTCTCATTAATACCGCTCCGTATACGTTGGGAATGATTCACTAATAAGACAACTTTACTTCTTTGCTGAGGCAGGGTTACCTTTTTTGTTTCGAGTCATGCAAAAATAGTAGAAAGGTTGTAAATCTTACCCATTGGCAAGACCTTAAACACTTGTAGAACATGATAGAACCCTGGGATCAAGTGTCGTTGATGTCCAGACAGAAACACGTTCTCCCCGCTTACACTAGCTACTGTCATAAAAAGATCACTACTATAGTCAATTCTGGTTTACAAATCCGCTCACTGCCCCAAGCAAACGACAGCTTACAGATAAGCCAAATAAAATCGAACTGAAAAGGGCCCCAAAAGTATGGCGCTTAATTATGCCTGAAAGATCGGCTGTCGAAGTACGATTTACAACGCCAATATTCATCCACCAAAATGGGGGCCTTAGATTGAGAAGGGACTCGAAACTGATATCTGGAAACCCGGAGAAAGCAAACGGAACTGCTCCTATCGAGGATGAAAAAACTATGTGAGTGGTAAACCTAATTTTTTATCCATGAAGTCCAACGAGTACCTGTGGTTCTGACATGGCATGGGTTTCTGGAGACAGCAGTTTGTTCGAGTCTACGCAATTCTTCTCCTCCCCAAGATGAACTATTCATTCATCAACGATAAACCAAATAATAAAGCTGCGTAATCTTTCCCTGGCTTTTATGAAAAAACAAACCTTCTGTGTGGCTACGAAGCAAAACATGCAAAAACGCTACACGACGATTACTGTGAGTCAGATATCAAATCTTAATGCCAAAGACATTAATGAGTGAGTTCGTTAAAAATAATTCTACATTAGAAGAGAAATCATCAAAATCCACGCATTGGTCCTAAAAACATACAGGGTTAGAATCAATCACTACACTTAACGCTTCTGGAGTTGATGAGACTTTCTGAAGCCACTTACATCCTTGGCATGAAGATTTTCTCAATATGCACTCATCGAAGTGGTCAGGAAAGCGGCAGACGATTGATGAGAAGCTTGGTAGGTTTGCTGCGTGAGGATGTATCCTATCACAATCCTTTAAATTTTTGCATTGTTGGTTATGTGATTTGTGTAATCGAGCATCGCCCTGCAGCAGAAGTGTAGTGGTTAGTTATGCGATCCATCGATGAGCAAGGTGGTGGTTCGAACCCCTTCCCCACGCTCTCCTCCAATCCACATGGGAATGTGTTAGCTCGGTTACTCCAAAGATTTCAATGAGAATTGACTCGACCAGCATTCTATGCGATTCGTAATGAAGACGAAATGCCCGAACAGTATTCGAAACAACACGCCTAATGTTCGAAGAGCAAGAAGTGCTGAGATCTGCACTGTGGATGTGATGACGGGTCATGTAGACAAAGAGTTATCGCTGATAGTTTCCCATTGTAGTGATTTTCCCAGTGCTGGAGAAGCTACGCTGAAGAAACCTCGGCAATGAAACAGTTATCGTAAATTTGTTTTGATGTCAGTTTGGTTTAAAGTACAGGGTTTCTATGCTTTATCATAATTAATCACTATCCAGTACATCGTCGGTTAACGCATAGAATCCATTTGTTTCCTCAAATTGGATAGGTTTCCTTGCCTAGAAAAAAAACAGAGTACATTCGAAGATGGCGAAATCCTATCCTTTTTATCCAATACCTGAGTCTTTTGACTTCCCAATTGCGTTGTGGTCACCCACAAGCTATTGAAGTGTTGTTCATTTTCTTTTCACTCTTCTCCCCTAAATGGTCACCGTTGATGGCAGAAATTCGTCTGAGATCTTCATCCAATACCTTTACCTCCATCAGAAAACTTGAAACCGTAGTTGTATCGCAAAACCTCACTGTTTCCTGGCAGAAGCAGCGCCAGTGCTCCGAGGGTTAAATCCAAAAATAACCCATATAAAGACAGAAACATTAATGTAAAAATGTAAAAAAGGCAGATGACATGAACAAAAAGGCATAGGACTTTATTTCAGAGGTGTCAAAGCATAACAACGCAGTGCTAACATTACACACTCACTTGAATCCATTGTCGCGATGAAGAATCATGAAAACAACAACAGAATCTCATGTTGACTGGTAACTTACTGATCAGGCGAGATTTTCCTTTGCAAGACTATCAAGATAGCTTTGTTAAAGGTTTTCCCATGTCGTCAACGGGAGCAGTTTCCTGCGCTTGTGGATCTGATATTTGCCATCTTGTAACTATGCTGCTACCAAGACGACGATGATTCCTTACAAGTTTCTTGTTCTTAACCGAAAATCAGGAAGGAAATCGAACTTTTGAGCTTCGGGAACTGCATGCATGAACTCTGCCGTACATCACAAATTAACACCCAAATCAGTTCCCGGCCACGACGAGGCAGTAAAGGATTAGAAGATGACGACACCATTTTCCAGATAACCCTACAGATACCCTCTATTCAACTCATTTCCAATCTTTAAGCGATCTCATCAGGTAGCCACTCGAACATTTCGTTAGTTCAGTAAGCCAATATGAAAACTGAAGCTGATTCACCTCTATAATGACCATCGAGTTCTTCTAAGACTTTCTGGTGGACCTAAACTCATGAGATGATCGTGCGACTAACTTAGCCAATAGTTCCATTGTATTTCCAGAACTGGATAAATCGATTCGTAGAAATGGTTGTAATCACAGGTTGCTACTCACTTTCACCTGGTATACCTTGTATTTCAAAATCACAGATCGATAGATACCACTTGAACGTCACAGCACTTAGCGCTTTCGTTCACAGCAGGGGCTAGTCTATCAAGGTCAGCGTTTGCCTCAGGCGAATCACAGGACTCATACCATGCACGAGATCCAGTTCAACTCGTCACAAGCATCCAATGCACTTTGCCCTCTTTTCGTCCTGGGTCAACTTTTTTAAATTGAAATAAACCTTCATAATAACAACACACGGGCCTTGTATTGATTCAGTCTTCGTTACCTCACTATAAATATGAATGTCCTTCTCATGGAACCACTCAGTCATCCCCTTTTCATGTATCTGTTCTTAAGTGTCCTTATAAGTCTTCGCTTTAGAAGAAAGTTATCAAGAAATATTTAGCCTAGACAAGAGAATACGCCACTAATTGCCCATTTTCTCCAAACGGCGATCGATAATCCTGTGTTGCCAACTCATTCGTAAGTCCAGCCGGTTCGTGTTCGACACTCTGTCCTGTCGAACATCATCATCATCATCACCGACAACACACCGTGGGGATAACCCATGCCGTCATCCAGAGAGAGTCTCGGACGTCTTCGGGCGCGGCCGCTACATGTTCACCGTCAGCTGGGCACTAAGGGCGATCGATCGCATTGCGGCCTGGTCGCCGGCTGTGTTTGTCGTGCGTCTGTGCGTGTGTGTGCTGTTGTCTGTCTGCTGCACATCATCCGCAAATCGTCGCGCATCGTGCTCGAGCTGCTTCCGTACGGATTTCAGCAGATGAAACTGTCGTCAATCCGTTCGTCAACAATCTCATCCGAAATCGTCGACGACGTCAACGATACCCTTGAGGAAATCGAGGACGCACGAGCTCCACTTCTCGTCAACACCAAAGAAAAACCACTGCGTTCCGTCGATCAGTTCGTCAACAATGCCATCTGACATCGTCGTCGACATCAACGGGAAGGGAAGTGCGAAAATCCACCAACTCGAGTTCTGGCCGACGCTGAGAAAAAACCAGGGACCGTTGACTGCGCTGGCTCGCTGCTGCGCCGACATCACCACGACCAGTGACATTATCGAGAACGTCTTCATCGGCACTACCGTAATCTATCGATGATATATCATGGAAGTATAACTGTCCACTTCATGTGTAGAGCATACCCTGCTTCTACTATCACTATTCGTGTAATTACTTCAGTATAGTTGTTTAGATCAAAATTAGGATGCCAAGGCCATCACGTACAGAACAATGAGAATGACGTCAGAATGCACATAGAATGCCAAAAACACACATTTTCACGACTAAATTGTGGAAAAAGATGTTGCCGACATGCAAATACTGAGATATTTTAATGTTTTGTGGATAGATCTTAGTTTTTGTGTACTGCACTCCTCGAGGAGAATCGCACTTCCGTCGTTGACGACAACATCACTAAAAATAGTGAAAAACTAAAGACCCAGCTTCAATTTTCCAGGTGTAAGCTGTCGTTCGATGGCAGGCATTGTACCTGAAGCCGAAGAATTCGGCCATGACGTACCAATGGATCCGACTATGGAGAGTGAAGACAGCGAACATTCTGAAGAACTTGTAGTAAGCGCACATGATTTTATCAAATGTCGAGCACTAAGCAGAGAATAACCCAAGAAACCGACTTCACATAAAGGCCAATTCTAATAAGGTCTTGAGATTTAATGTAAGTTATTAACCCTGGCATCCTTGCAGATGAGCGAACCACCTGATTCTGAATGTCATATAGATGATGTGGGCGATAACGAAGATGTCACAGAGCGATTCAGTGACTTTGCTGTACCCACTACAACTCGAAATAAACACGAGGAAGCCACGTCAAGAAGTCCGTCAATACAGGTATGTTGCTTTGTTTACTTTACTTATCTCATAGCCATTGGAGATGTAAACCCTCTGGGTAATGTTCTAACTTTTATTCACAGCCTATTCTTCTTTTTTAGTGGCAGGGTATTATGTGATATACAACCAACAGAGTGCTGGGATATGAGCAAAACTCGCAACTCAGGTGCGCTTCGAACCCACTATTACCCCTTCCGCGAGCTTGCATATTATCCACTGCAGCAACTGATGCTCTTGCTTTGCCCTTCTATCAGCTAGTTCTTTAGTCCAACGATGCTATCAGCAATCACCCGTCATCGGGAATGAGATGAGGAGCACAAATTCGTATTAAACTGAGCGAAGCTGAATCTGCAGTCAAAATCACGATATTTTAACTTTTATTTATTGCCTGTTTTCCGTTGTAAGACATTACGTGATATATAATCACAAGAATGCCGAGGTATGAGCAAAACTCGGAACATCTGATGGGCTTCGAACTCGCGACTACGCTTTACGCGCGCTCACTTGTTATCCACTGCACCAACAGACGCCCTACAACTAAGTCTCTGGTTAATATTTTTATTGAAGCACTTTTAAATGAGAAAATCATTTGAAATTGAACAGGTTCCACATTTTTACACGTTTTGAAGTAACAAAGCGACGCTTACACTTACTAAATTCGACAGGGGTATGGAAGGGTGGCGAAAATGCTTATCGAAAAGCATAACTCTCTGCCTTTCTGCAGTTAAACTTTCTAAGACAAACTGTTTAGTGTTATCAACTGTAGAGTTGTTCCAGGTGCTATTTGATTGGAATTCATATCTTCGTGAACAGAAAGCTGAACCAGCCCCAAAAGAGTGTTTCTTTCAACCAGACACGCCTCCAGAAAACAAGTTCCAGATCGGCATGAAGCTTATGATTGCTGATCCTAGAGGCATGACACATTTATTTATTAGTAGTTTCCGTAAAAGAATTCTGTATGAAAAAGACTCTTTGGTGTTTGATACATGAAAAAAGTGAGGAGAGAGATGAGGAGATATAGGGAGCGAAAGAGATAAGGAGTTGGAGAGGAATATCTTGGAGATGGGGTTTAGCTCGAGTTCGTGTATAAGCAGTAAGATTATTTCGGTTATGCGAGCTAATGGGACAAAGTTGTTCGTTCATTGCAATAAGTAACAGTTATATTAAATGTATATGTGAACATCAACAGATTCAAACTATCCCAATAGTCAGCTTCAAAAAATAATTCCTTTGAAATTATTTTCAAAGCTTGTCCAATCCATGATCATTCATTTCGAGCAGAAAGACATTAAGGTGAAACCTATTATTTAGGACCAACTGGTACAAGCGCAATGTTCTGTCTGGGCACCGTTGTAAACGTGTATAAATTATGGTTGTGCGTACGTCTTGAGGGCTTGGACAACTCCCATGAGAAGTGGATTTTCTGTGATGATGAATCGATACAACCTATTGGGTGATTGCTTGCTTACTGTTTCATAAGCACGAACATTTCTTTTTCTGTTGATGAATCGAAGCAGGTTTGGATATTTTTCAGACCTACTACTGAGGATCATATGAAGCTGAATCCACCGATTGGTTTCATCCATCATCACGGTACTTTCCCAAAATTTCTCGAACAACATCTGAAGCCGGACGATGAAACTGGAAAATCAAGGTTGTGTCCACCAGAATGGTTCAGACCAGTGAGTGATATTCTTTGTTTAGTCAACAAGATTCTAAAATAATTCAAAGGGCATAGAAGTACAAATCAAGAGAGTAATATCTACCAAGACATTTTATGAATTTCCACTGCATAATGGTGTGAGAGATGTGGTGTTCCAAGTGGTAAGAGGGGGTTCAAAAGTTTTAAGAGAACCGGCTTGTCACAGTAGCAGTAAATGATAAAAGCCTAGTCAACTTAAAGAATGTGTTAGAGAAGCAGTTCCGCTTATCTTATGCGTTGTAATCGACTAATACTGGGTATCCCAGGTGGAGTTCGAACCCGCGATTACCGTTCCCGCAAACTCACCTGATATCCACCACACCAACCGAAGACCTTCTTGCTTTGCCTTTCTCTCAACCATTATTTTTCACCTAAACGGTGCTGTTAGCAATCACTCATAAACGGGAATGATCTGCTGAGCACAAATAGCCATTGAACTCACTTAAATTAAGGCTGTGGTCGAGATTATAATGTCTAAGTTTCACTTACTGTTTTTTATTTAATGGCTGGGTATTATGTGAAATACAATCATGAGGATATTGAGATAGAGCGAAACTTTGTTTTTTCGGCTGTTTTGTTCATATCTCAATTATGGATAACTATTTAATACTTACTTGGATATTTGGATGACCCATCTTCAATGGTTGTGCGGACCCCAGTATAACTTCCATTTTTTGGAGTTTCGTTGGTTTAGCTACTGTGGTTCCCTCGAGTCTTGAGATCAGCCTAGCCGAAGTCTGCCCCAGGTCACGTCGTCCCTCGCTCACCACCAAAAGTAGTTGCCGCCCTTGTGAATCGGAGCGAGATTTGCCACCGTGCGACTAGTCTGATACCAGGACGGTACCAGCGGATCTTGGTATTGGTACTGTTTTACTCTAAGTTGAGCTTCCTGTTGGAAACGCCGGAGTCGCTCTGAACTTCAGAGACCCTGCTAAGGGGATGTATCCCTCGCTGTAGATCTCAACCCGACACCCAGGAACACTTCCCAGCCATGATGAAGCGGTAAACCGTTTTGGGGAACCATTCAATAAGTTTGTTCAATATTGAGATTTCAAGGATTTCTTTTTGGGAAGTTTCCATATTAATAGGCTAGGTGCGAAATATCAACATACTATTAATGATGTCTTTTAGAATCAAAACAGCAGTCAAAATAAGTTGAGTCAATGACTGTAAGATAACGTACTTATTTCAGATATCTGAAACACTGAAACCAGTACAAAATTTCTTCAGCGTAGGCCAAAAAGTTGAAGCGATCGATCAGAGGAGTTTTAATGGAAAGACATGTCCGGCGACTATTGCAGGTGTCACAAAAGTAGGTTCCTTTCTGTTGTTATGCAAAATAAGAATTTCATATTGCTGCGAATCAGACCACGTAAGGTGAGATCTCATCATTTTTGTTAAAATCTCTTTAGAATTAATGTTTTCATCGATTCAAAAATTGATTAGGTTTTGAAGAACGTTATGGCAGAAACAGAAAACGACTTAAGGGGGGGGCATTAAGAACGTAGACATGCTAATTTCTCAAGAACGACCTGTATACTTTCCAGTCAAACTTCGACATGGGCAATAGAAAGAGCCTATTCATAGATATGGAAAGTTTCCATAGTTCCAAATCAAATCCACTTTAGACATAAAGCGAACTAAACGAAGTCTTACCTTGAAAGTCTATCTTCGGGTCCCATATAGCATTTTTCTTCTGGTGTTATAATTGGCACGGTAACATCTATTCCTCAAAAATTATTTGAATTTTGTAGCAAAATACTTGAAAATATAAAGACGAACGAGTGAGACGTACGAGAAATATTGAACGGATGAAGATTTCTATAACCGTTGAAGATGTAAGGGTTCTCTTTTTTCATATCCCTTCTTTTATTGGTGCTAAATCGGCATCTATTTGCTAAAAGAAAAACTGCTCATCTCATAATGGAGCACTGTAGTTGTTTTTTATAGAATTACTATGAGGGGTAACAACGAAAAAAATTGGACGAACTTCGTGGCCATACAATAGAATGATAGGAGCCACATTGTTAAAACTGGAGGTTGAGATTTATTAGAATTTCCTACAAGTCACAAATCAACAAACCCTTAGGAAAGGATTCCAGAGAAGCTGGGTTTGTAGACGGCCATCATCACAACCATAGTAGGAGACCGACCACCGGTCCGATTTGCTCGTTCGTTGTATTTAGTGTATAGGCTTTTCACGAAGATCGGATAATGATAAGTCGTATAAACTACTTGTGAAAAGAAAGTTTAAGTGATATTAGCTTAAAATGTTGAATACGATCTGTATAAATCTTACTCTACAGGAGTAAACCGAACGCGATCTAGAAATAAGTCGACTTCAGGTTACGTTTAAAGGCACTTAACAAAGGAGAAAACCCGGAATACCCAACTGGGATATATGACCTCAGTAGTTGACAAATGTTGGATGGAAGTCATTACAAGCATTAAAAGCATTATTTCAAAGAACGGGAAACAAATGATAAACCTCAGTCAGTACTGAATGGTCCTAACAGAGCAGGCAGTTGTGAAGTGAACAGGATTGCCATTTTATATTGATTGGTTGAGTCTCTACTGTTTTAAACCGGAAAAAAGTATTGGGACAAAGTTTTGTTTGAAGTGGAGTTTCTTGTTTAAATGGAGAATTTATGTCGTAGATCATGTGTAACAGTGTAGGATATCAGTTATTTTAGGGTTCATATGGTTCCAATTTGAGGTGGCCATCTTCTTGGTCTTTTTAGGATATCCTAGCCTTCGAAATCGAAATATATCGGGAAATCGAACGCTATTAACAGAAGCAAAACTTCCTAAACAATGTTCGAAGCTGTCTGTCTAGCCGCTTCCATTAATTGTATCAGTGTACATCTTATTTTCATACTTCAAGTTAGTCAGCTAATAGGGAAAGAGCTCCAAGAAGCTTAACCTCTTATTCGGTTACATTTAGATTCTATTTTCGTCAAAGAAATCGGGAGTAATCTGTTTTCCATAGTCACTTTATGTAGACAGGTGATGAGCTGAATCTGATCACAGCAAGCTGAAGTTTCTTCTGTTTGCCTTTTTGTGAAGAAAAAGAGTCCTATGACGTCTTCTGATGAAAAATACTGTCTTAACGAAGATAAACATTTCAGTCACATATTCAAATCCACTTCGATGGATGGAACAGTGGTTACGACATCAAGGAGCCATACTACACTCGATTCGTGATGCCGGTCGGATGGTCCCAGAGGAACGGTGTTGATATCAGTCCACCGAAATCCGAAGCGAAAAACACGAGTATGTTCCAAAGCACACATTTGTATTAAACCAATAATTCACAGAAGACGATAATAAGGAAGTAGTTTCGAATTTATCCTTCAGCTATAATCATAAGTTTTTTTCCTTCGGGTGAATCACGTGCTCTACCCATAAACGTTTTTAAAACAAAAAAAAGATTGAAAAAAAGTTTGCTCTAATGCAACATTACGGTTACTGTAGATTCCATGGCGTTTTAAATAAGTGCAAACAAAAATAAAGCTGCTAATCTAAAAAGTAATCGAGAAGATGTAGTATGCGTCACATTAATTATCTACATTATGTCAATTCTGTGAAGAAATTAGAATTAAGAATTTTTACTCATACAACTTATAGTTATGCTTTTTTGGAAAATAGTTAATAGAAAGGAAAGGGGCGGATAGCGCAGCAGTAGTGATGTCGGCCATCACGAGCATGGTGCCGGTTCAATTCCGCTCCATGCCAGCCAAGTCTCTTATCCTTCCGGGATCAGGAAGTTAGTACCGGACAAAAAAACACTCTCCAGTTCAATTGGGCACGCTCCAACCCGGCTATCACAGGACTCCAGGGAGAATCTACTAGATAAGCATTCTACGTCATTCAAGATGAAGCGAAAATAGCAGTAGTCGAAGCAACATGTGAAAGTTGAAAGACTTCAGTGGATGATTCGTGCAAGGAAACGAATTGAATGTAAGAAGTGCCGAGATCCGAACCATGGACCTGAAGACGGGTCATATAAAAAAAAGGGAAAGAGCCAAATCTCATGTGGATAACACTTACCGACCAAAAAGTTGAACAGAACACTGTGAAACGGATGGTCCGTCCAAGTTATCGATCATCTAAGTTAAATCAATCATAGTGGTACCAATAAACTGTTTCCAAATATTAATCTATTAACTACAGTAATTTTTCACCGCAGGTACTATGTGAAATTCAACCACAATGATGCTGAGACATTTGCAAAACTCCGCGCCGCAGGCGTCTGCGGTGAGGATTGAACTCGCTAGTTCGTTTTCCGAAGACTAACACGTTCACCACTACACCATGCGGGCTCTTCGTTTCACCTTTTCCTCGGCTAATTCTCATGTTGACTATCGATCTCGTTGACGGGTAATTGCTGATGGCGCCCTTAGGTAGAAAATTAACTGAGAGAGGCGAAGCGAAGGACCCGTGTGGTGTGGTGGTGAACGCGTTAGTCCCCGGAAAGGGTAGTAGCGTGTTCGATCCCCACCTCACACACCTACGGTCCGTAGTTTTACAAATATCTCAGCATCGTTTTGGTTATGGGCAGTAATAAGAAAGACCAGTGTCGGGCGTTATGATTTAAAATCAGACTCTCAGCTCGCATGTTGAGTTATACAACGCATTTTCCGTGTTCCACTTACCGTCTTCGACGATTTTTTCCACTTCTCCGAGGAATAAATACTTTGAAACCAGTTAAAGGAGAGCAAGTGATGAAGCATTGGACTTTGATCATTCTCTGAGGGATGCGCCATGCATTCGACACTATTCGTAACATCGTAGAGGTGTTTAATGCATATCTGGTCTATACAATGAATTCCAGTGTCCTACTTATGTATCAAGTCAGTACTGTTATCGTCCCAGTCAAGTCTGGTACCAATTTGCCGACCTCGGATGTTCGGAAGCCTTGGTGAACGCGCAGCGCGGGTTCGAACCCATCGATCGAATCAGCCAGTGTGTCTTGCAGAACCTCCTCTATACACTGCGTTACACGTCCTCACTTGAAACAAGTTAAATATCATAGATATTTTATATATTACAGTTTCAATGAATATACTCCAATTCATACGAAATGTCCTCTGATTGTGAGCGTCAAGAGGGTATTTTTTAGAATATGGCCTACTTTTGCGCTGTTCCGATGTTGCGATCGAATGGAATTCATTATGTTTGTGGCATTCTTATTATTAACTTTAGAGTGATTTGTGCTGTCACATTTATTCTATTGTTTGGTTATAACCCTACGGTCGACGATATTGTCGTCCTGAGCCAAAAATAACCCCGTGAAATCGATAGATTTAGGTTTTAGGGCTGAAAATTTCTTACGAAACCTCTTTTTTTTCACGATGTTCCTGCTTATTTACAAAAATATTCCACCTTTCTTCCAATATTCGTATGCAAAATCTTCAAACGAGCTTCGATCATTGTTAGAGACTAGTAAATTGTTACTCTTCCTACTCTTACAGTTACCATTCTACAATCACCTGCCGTTTAATAAGTTTTAGAAAGAAGTGCTGACGTAATAAAAATGCTCTATAGTATGCTTTTGATAAAAAAACGTGAGCGACTTCCGCTAGAAAACTGGCGGCGTTAGAATAGTCAATATAATATCTCTTACTATTGTTCATTTATTAACTGAAAACGAATTAGGTTAAGTGAAAATTGGTTTAGTAACAGTATCATTTCGTTATATGCTTGTTGCATTGGATATCGTGGGGTGTGTACAGCAGTGGTCGGAGGCACCATGCAATACGCATGGGTCCCGCCCCAACGCCTACCAAGCTCTCCATCACCGCGGGGTCGGCAAATTGGTACCAGACTTGTCTGAAAGCATAACAGCACTGGCTCGATACATCGGTAGGCCACGGCGAGTCATTGTAAAGGCCAGATGTGCAGTCAATCACCTCTAACGATGTTTGATGAAGTCGAATGTATGGCGCATCCCTCAGGGATTGATCAACGCCGGGAGTTTTATTCTTTATATATGCTGGTTATGCTAAAGTTATCATCTTGGTCATAGTCAAGCGAAGCTAGGTTGGGTTCTGTGTTGTTAGCGATCTCTTTCGGATAGATCAAGATCGCTGACTGTATCGAAGCAACCGGCAACTATCATTTAATTTTTAGCAACTAACTAACTTTTAACTCAACCTACAGATTGATTTTATTTCTTTATCGATCAGTATCACGTAGTTCAACATCGTTGGTCTTGTCGAGACTAGGTTTCTGCTCAAGTAATGGAGAGATTTCGTCGTTTTTCTGCGAACGTCACTTTCAGGTAGACCAACGCCGTTGACGGTATCGAAGCAATCAGCGAGTCAAAGACAGAAACATCGTTCGACTGTTACGAAGTCGGCGCCACACGCATCGATTTCGAGCTCCGGCAGTCGATCATCATCTTCATCATCGTCGTCGAAAGTTGTTCGACGACTATCCGATATGGGTGTGAATCCGGTGGAAGGCCTAAAAGGACGTGGTGCTCGATCATCAGCAAGTAAGTTATGACGTTAAAGTGTAGATTTTTCGATGTACTTTTCAACGTTCAAATGTTCAACACGACCCGAAAATCAATAGTACTGATTTTGTTATGTCATGTGATGTGGATCGATAGTTGGGGATAGAAAGCACCTTACTTGTCTGTTGCTACTCACTTTATTACTTACTTTACTTGCAAAGTATACTTGCATCGATGAGCAACATAAAGGGATAGATCTACAATATCGACCGACCTTATTAACCGTTTCACGACGACGGCTATTTTCGCCTGTAGGGTTCGTCGGATCGTCAATGCAGTGCAATTGAAGTGCGCATGGAAATCAAGAGATACGGTCTGTGAGCCTCCGTAAGAGGTGTAAAACAGTGGTTTCTTAAGATTACCGTTCTATTGTCTGGTTTCCTCACATTTTTTCCATGTCTCTTTAGCTTGCCCATAACCACTATGTTGTTCTGCGTATGCTTTCCTCATGGTGTTGTATGATTTGAAGTGTATTCCTGCATTTTTCATGTTTTTTTTTACATCCACCGATTCCTTTCCACCGTCCGAAGCGGCGTTTTGCAACTACGGTTGATAATATCTACCCATCATCGGACCAACTCTGCTACAAATTTTGTGTTCGACAACTCATCCATTGACTGACTACAAAGAGTCATGAAGGTGTCATGTGATCAAAAAGTAATGTAAAAAAGGATAAAGCTCTCGGCGTTGATCAATCCCTGAGGGATGCGCCATGCATTCGACTTCACTAGGCATCGGTGGGGATCACTGAATGCATATCTGGCCTTTACAATGACTCGCGGTGGCCTACCGATGTATCGAGCCAGTGCTTCTATCCTCCCAGACAACTCTGGTACCAATTTGCCGACCCCGGAGAGATGGAAGGCTTGGTGGGCCATGGACGCGGAGATTGATTCCACATGGGTGTTCCAGGACGCCTCCGGCCACTGTGCCACACGCGCCTGAAGTAATGTACCTACGTGAAAATATTAAAGAAACTGCGCTGTTCAAGCTTGCGCACTAACGAAGTTGTAACAATACAGAACCGTCCAACTCTTATTTTCGACAGTTTGACGTATATGACCAACCCCCTTCTTGAACGATGGCACAGTCTTGCTGTTCTTCCATTGAATAGGAACCATGGATTCTGACAGGTGACCTGTTAAGAATTCCGTCTGGACGTCGGAGTGCAATAATTTTGGTTCTGTAATGGCGAAGCTTCGGTGGGCTTTGCGATTGCTTGACTCCCACGTGTAGCGATGGGAGTGGGTGGGGTTTCTGGAATTGTGAGTTAACTTCAATGGTCTCAGTGGTCATGGTAAACTCGGACAGCCGCTCACTCAACTCGTTCCATTCTAATTCATGGATGCCAATGTGATGTGCTTCAGACGTTCTTCTGGGTCCAATCTCATGTTGAAATCTCCAATGATGCGCATGGAGAATGTATGGTTTTCTCTGTAGTACCTCTCCAAGTTCATATGAAACTCCTCGAGAACCTCTTCTTCGTCATAGCTTTATGTCGGCGCGTAATGGACGAGGATTGTCAAAGCCAGTGTCTTCAACCGTAAAACGTCCGATTCAGGTTGTCGGTGTTCAAATGAATCGATCGAACAGTTCTCGACAGCATAACTGATGTATTGTATTTGTTGTATCTTCTGATAGATTAAATGTACTTTTTGCTCTTACAATGAAATTCGGCGGCTAGCTGTTAGTCTGTGTCCTACACTTCCTGTATACTCCAATGCTTTCTTTTTGCAATGATTTGGTTCACTCCTTCGCAAAGAAATAAGGTTCTGATCGATCTCCAGGGTTTAGCTATCCATAAAGAGTTCGTTTTTAATCAGCTGAGTCTTTATTGTTGAGCATAGTAATATGTTTATTGAACGTCGTTTTAGCTGATGATATTGGCTTATTGATAACTCCAAACCTTTGCTCGAGAAGGTTTTCCTTAGGAGTTATTAGATGGTCCGCTAATCCGCTAAATCATGTTTAGCACTTTTCAGAGCGTCCAGCAAAAAACGGCACGGCTACACCGCCACCAAAGAAGAGTGTAGAAGACGTAAGTCCGACAAGAAGTACGTCTTCAGCAGACACATCACTTTTCGTGAAGGTCAACCCACAGGTAACCCGTAATGACTACACGATGCTATAAGTTATAGAAACGTTTACAGTTTATGATTTACTAGTTTCGTTTTTATGCCTATATTAAAACACCACCGTAATGTTAACACCTCCCAACGGTTTACCGCGTCATTGCGGCTGGAAAGTGTTCTTGGGTGTCGGGTTGCGATGTACAGCGGGGCGATTCATCCCTTCAGGCGAAGAGTGAAACAATACCAGTATCCCCCACTGTATTGGTGTCAAATTAGTTGCATGGTGCCGAATCTCTCTCTAATCCACAAGGGTGGCGACTATCTGTGGTGGTGACGACCTGTGGCAGACTTTGGCTAGGCTGACCTCGGGCTTCCAGGAAGCCACAATAGCTAAACCACCAAAACTCTGAAAAAAATGGAAATTATGCTGCGGCTCGCACAAGCAATGAAAACATGCCATCTAAGTAACTAATGCTGACAAGCTATCGAAAACCAGGACACATCTGGAGCTACACGTGTACCTACGCTAATTTTTTCACTTATGTTAATTTATAGGGTGCTATTTCATAGCATGATTTATTTTAGAGAAGAACTGCAGACACTGACAGCATCCGTGTAACTGTGCAAAAAGCGCGGTGTTTAGAAAATTCTGTTGAAGATAAAGTTAAAGGTGGGCTTGCAGTAATGTCGTTATCATTTTTTCTCATCCATTTCTGAACAGATTCCACCGGAAAAATTATGCGGTGGAATAAAGTGGATATCACGGGCGCGTGTTGCGCGGTGGTTAGAGGCACATGGAATCAATTCCGCGCCCCAGGTTTGCAGTGCATTCTATTCCTCCGTGCTGAGCAAATTGGTAATAGACTTGTCTGAGTGGGCACCAGTACCAACATGATGTTTTGATAGAGCACCACGAGTCATTTGTTGTACTAGATATGCATTCAAGTCACCTTTTCAATGGGAGATGAAGTCGAACGCATGCTACATCCCTAAAGAATTGATTAACGCCGAATACTTTGTCCCTTATCCTTTATTATGATGTGTGAAGTTGGTCAAGTTCAGAAATCTTATGTCTAAAATCAACTATTTACCATCGGAATTAGGATGTGAATTCTATCACCTTTATGATGCTGAGATATTTGCAAAACTTGGACTAGAGGGCAATCACTCTTACTACCACACTTGCTAGAACGTCCATCTCCTTTAGTAATTGAAATTCTCGATTGTAAAAGACGCATTTCATAGTGAATTTGAAATAAAAACTGACTGAGAGGAAGTCAGAGCAAGGACATCGGTTGGTGCAATGGCTAACACGTGGCCCCCAAATAAGGAATCACGGGTTCAAAGCGCGACTGCGGTTTTGAGTTTTGTTGACATCTCAGCTTACTTGTGATTGTAATTTCACATAATACCATCCATTAAAAAGGAATAGGCAGTAAGTAAAAGTCAAAACCTTTTTGGCGCTTTTTCCACCTGGGCTCATATTTCGAACACGGTTGAATAATTGAACAGGTGGGATTTTGTAACAGCGTGACATGATAATGTTTCCCAATGCATTGTCGACGGTTGCGGCTGCCGGTCATGGTTTCGAATTTGCCACAAAAAAAGTAAATTTTGTTCTCAATTTGTAGGAAAGTCTATCCCAAAGAAGGTTAAGGTTGCAATGATGTTACTTAAGAACTCTGTTTGCCATTCAGACGATAGTGCAAGGTTTTCTATATAGATCTGTCAAGTGCTGAACTAATACAGCAGTCAAAAGTAATACTTTCTACAAACCTCGGCATAAATAATCGTTATATTTATTTATATATTCTTATGAACTGATCATGTTGAGCTGATGCGAGGTTGGTGTAATTGTCGTTGTTGTTGTTGTTGTTGTTGTTGTTGTTGTTGTTGTTGTTGGTCGATAGCTGACGTTTCGACCATTCCACCTTGCTCAGAGCTGTGCTGTTACGAGTAGAACTGCAGTTCGAAACGTCCGTCATCGACCAGCCACAACAACAACGACAGCAACGATAACCATACCAACCTCGCACCAGCTCAACAAGATCAGTTCGTAAGAACACATGAGTAGTCCACCACTGTTAGTCGTGGAGCTATCGTTTGTTTCCGGAAAAACTTCCTTCATGGGGAATGTGTTGATCACGTGTGTAGTTTTTCTTTAAGCGGAGACCATTTTGTTTAAGGAAATAATAACGGTTTCGTTAAAATGTGGTTTACATTTGCATATTTAACATGTCGGAGTTCTAAAAATAGTCGTTTCATTGTAGAATATTTGAAACGCACCCTTTAGATCTCCTTATGCACGCGAAGGTCGAGCAACAAAGACTCGCAAAGCAGCTATCACAGCCACCGTCGGCGGTAAGTTATTGGCTTCTGGCGTATTCATAAAGACAGTTTAAGGTTAAAATGGTTGTGTGATTGAGAAGTGCTGTCTAACCTAAGAAGTCTGAATGTGCTTAACAGCACTAGCAGATGACAGTTTAGCTGTTTACATAGAGCCTCACGGCACGCATTTGGCGCAGCGTGCGGTGGCGCCCTGCAATACACACATGGGACCGATCCTTGCGCCCGTGGCTCACCAAGCCTTCCATCCCTCCGGGGTCGGCAAATTGGTACCAGACTTGTCTGGGAGGATAGCAGCACTTGTCCGATACATCGTTAGGCCACCTTGAGTTATTACAAAGGCTAGACATGCATTCATTCGCCTCCAAGGAATGCCTAATGAAGTCGAATTCATTGCGCATCCCTCACGGATTGATCAACGCTGAGAGTTTTCTTTCTTCTTTACCGTTTTATAAAGCCTCACATAAATCGGATCTCAGTGATCGTATTTTGCGCATCTGACAGTGGTTCAGTAGTAAACACTCTGGAGATCACATGTGTAGTCATTCTTTCATTGGAATCGGACAAGAGTTGGAAACAGTTTCTTGCTTTTTCTTTAGTATATATCATCCCCAAAATCTGTCCGCAGTCCACCTCCACAGCCGCTTTCGCGACTGGAGACATCGTCGGCTAATGTTTCATTCTACGCTCCCATTAAGGTGGAACTTTTGGTTTTCTTGTTAGCTTCTTTTATCTTAGACTCTACGTTCAAGTTTATATTTGAATCAGAATGAAGCTGAGGAAGTTGTTTCATCAACGACTGCATCTGTCGATACACCACGTACTATTGGACCTCGTCCATTGGCTCCACGTCCGTCGTGTTCTCAAACCAACCACGATTTTTTAGGGAAGGTACGCTGTCGTTATTACGTTAAAGTTGCTCTTTGATCTCATGTTTATACTTTTCTTTAATAACTCAAAAGACCGACTTCTATAAACTTCAGCATAAATAATCGATGTACTTATTTATATGTTCTTATGAACTACTGCCCTTGTTGAGCCGATGCCAGGTTGCTATTGTTGTTGCTGTTGTTGTTATCGTTATTGTTGCTCGATGGCTGACGTTCCGGCTGTTTCGCCTTCCTCAAAGCCTGTGCGTATTTTATACATAAATAGCTTGACAATTCGATGGAAAAACCATATTAGTGAAGATCTAACATATAAAGAAACGCTATATTGATCAAAAACTACTCACCGTGCTGTTACGAGTGGCACTGCTCGCGTTTTCTTCACGTGGGACGATGAGCGAGACCCACCTAGATCAAAAAATCATTTTCAAATAAAGCACCAGGCCACGTGTGGTAGTGAGGTATTCGTCCATTAGGTTCATCTTTGGATTTTTGGACTTTGTCCAAAACACGTCGTCTTGCGCGTTGATGTTTTCGATTCCTAAGCTAGGATTTGGACATTCACTTCGAAATCATCGCCATTGTACTTCTGTGCCTTATGAGTACCTAGAAGAGTGCTTTGACGAATTTTGACTTTTCTATCTAGGTGTTCTTTTATGCGGACATAAAACGGTCTACCCGTTTCCCCAATGTATTCCTTACTGCATGACTTACAAGTATATTGTACCTGAACTCATGTAATCCCCATCTCTCCCGTTAGGACAGATCGTACAGTTTTCTGAGCTGCACAAACGATCATAGAGGCGGTTGCGAAATAATTGACGGCGTATGGTGTTGGGTGGGAGGTCAATAATCGCCGCATAATTTTAAGACCACTTCTTATCAAGCACCTCTTAGAGGCGTAACTTATTTCATTTGATATGAAGGGGAGTTTTGTTTAGCTACGAAACGTTATTTTGGGGAACAATTCTACCTTTTTGTCTGACACGAGTGGCTTCTGCTTCGTAGCCATTGGGAATGGCTATTTTCCGTGTTAAACTTAGCGATTCCTTCCTTTGGTAATGCACTAGTATATTATACATTATATACACAGTATATTATAGTATATATATACATAGTATACAGTATATATATACATAGTATACATATATATATACAGTATATATATATAGTATATATACACTACTTTTCTATATTTTTTTACATGTTTTACTTTTTGTTTGATTCCATTTTCTCATGTAGCCTCTTTATAAAAGCTTTACTTGGATATTTGAGAACGGAAGCCACTTCTCGGGTGGTTTTTCACACGTGAGTTTTATATTGTTGACTGTCTGTTTAACAATTCGAAGCACTCATCCATCTGTTCTTGTGTGGAACAGAGGATGAAGCAGTCGTCACAGTAGAGTAAGGGTCGGCTATCGAGAACTGGAGCTTCAACCTTAAACATGAAAGCGATGGCAAGGCTTGGTGCTAAATGCTGTCCCATGGTCAACCCTCTACTTTGTACAAAATATCTTCCCGACCACCTAAATATAGAACAACTAAGACACATTTTTAAAAGAATCATTAGTTTCTATAATGCTGGGGTATTTGCAAAACTCCGGACCACAGGTGTTTGTGGTGGGGAACGAACGCGCTATTTTCCTTTTCGGGGAGTAACGCGTTCACCACCACACCATGCGGGTCCTTCGTTTCGCCTCTCTCTCTCAGCTACTTCTATCGATCTCTGCCATCAGCGATCACCCGTTAGCGGGATTGATCTGGGAAGCCCAAATCGGTTTTGAACCCGGTTAAGCTGACTGTAGTTATAATCACAGTCTTAACCTTTTTATTTACTGCTTATTCTTTTTAACGGCAGGCTATGTTGTGAAATAGCTTAAGATTGTGATTATAACTATAGCCTCAGCTTAACTGGGTTCAATACCAATTTGGGCTCTCCAGATCAATCCCGTTGACGGGTGATTGCTGATGCCGCTGATCGATAGAACTAGCTGAGAAACAGGCGAAACGAAGGACCCGCATGGTGTGGTGGTGAACGCGTTACTCCCCGGAAAGGACAATAGTTCGTTCGTTCCCTACCGCAGACACCTGCGGTCCGCAGTTTTCCAAATATCTCAGCATTATAGAAGTTATATTTCACAACATACTCTACCGTTAAAAAGAATAAGCAGTAAATAAAAAGTTTAAGAGAGTCATTAGTTGTTGATTCGACAGGCGATAACGACGATAACAACGAGAACGACAACTATACTAACCTCGCATCAGCTCAACAGGATCAGTTCATAAGGACATATAAATAGATATATTGTTTATAAATTTATTTTACGAATAGTTATGGAATGTTGTCTTAATATTTAAGCTCACTAGGGTTATTGTCTTCAGATCATCATAACTACAACGAGAACTCCTGTTCGCCTGACAAAAAGTTTTCCACTTATTCTGGTGTCATTGCGTGGTTAGTGTTCTATTGACTTGTAATTTTGAAATGGCTCTTACAGATCTGTCCAAAAATGGAACACGAAAAAGCGGAAGAGGCTCTATCAGCATCATCAACGTCAACACTGCCACTGATGTTGCAGACATCGTCGCTTAATGGTCCTGTTAATCAAAGATCGCATGACATTGTTCTTTTGTCCAAAGATGAAATACCGGTCAGAGAGAGACTCAGTAAGTATATTGCAACTATTGCGAAGTTCATTATTTAGTTGAGAAATTATTTTTGGGAATTTTAGTGACGATTTTTGTCAACTACACCTGTGATCTCGGTCCTAATCTGGATCCTATCATGGTGAGCGTTTTTCTGAGGTGTATGAAATAATGGCCTTGTCATTTGAAAAGCTGGATCTCACATACTGTAACTCTTGTTTCACGAAAGTTGGTTATAAGAACAGTTTTTGTCATGGGGCAGAACTTCTTTTGGGGCATATTTCCATATTAAAAAGTGGTGGTCGGTTCTCTGTTACGAATGGGACTTTTATGTTTCGGACTATTAGTCTCACAAAACTGTGAACCATTTCTGCAGCTTGTTTTCAGTAAACCACTTTTTAAAGGTTGCTGGAATTCGTCGTAAATTTGGACCATTTGCAATCCACCATGCACTTCGAGAAGCTGTACAACAGCTTCTGAATTGTTCGACAGATGACAGTGCAATGTTGAATCTGGTGCAGCCTGCTGCTGTAACCCAGATACTCTCAGTAACCGGTTAGTCTATGGAGGTTTTAACTGTTGGGAAATTATGTAAGTAGACAATGCTCATATCTGATATGGTATTGACTCTGTGTATAACGTGTCATTCATACCAGTGAGTGAAAGTAGTCTCTATTCGCCCACTTCACGTGCTGTAGTTTTTAAACAGCTTCTGTTCTCAGTGGATATGGACGCTTTAGAGCAAGAAGAACTATGGATTAGAGGGACATGAGCTAGTCTTCGACTATTCACTATATCTTTTATGTTCTAGTAAACTCCCAGGTCGCTTGTTTCTCGCTGTCCAATCTGAGAGGTTAAACGTTTATCGCGTTGATTCCTCGACCTATATATACGCTGATTTTCGGAGAGATTTGGGAAATGCTCGTTCCGATGTGAATGCAGTATTAGGGATGAACGTGTTGTTTCTCGTGAACACGCGTTTCTAGCCGTTTGCCCGAAGATTGGTTTTTTATACGGGTTTTTGACGTCTGCCAACATCCGTTCTGTGTGGCTAATTCTTCATTACGAAGGATGTCTATTATCAGCAATGCGAAAATAATGTTAGTGCTGGCTATTCATCAATTTCCACTCCCTGGTATTCCATCCTAGTTTTCGTCCGAAGTTTCTGAAAATAACAGTAACAAAATTTGACGAAGTGGTGTCACGCCATAATGTACAACGTTCCATGACCGCTTGTGTATCAACTGAATGGAAAGCTTTTTGTGTCAACGAAGGTGAGGAAAAGTGGCATCTTGTGCTCTGCTAATGCTTTAGTGAGTTTCATTGTCGTGTGAATGTGGTCCACCTTGATAGCTACTTCATTATAAATAGCAATACCATGCCTTCATAGGTAAGGAAGATGCATTCTGACAAGTAAGCGATGAAAGGCGCTTCAATGCGTTGATAGGGACTGGCTGTTTGGTTGCTGAGATGTTCTCACCTAATTTACTGGCCGTTCTATTAAGAGGTGCTTATTTGTCGATTTGTCGGCAAAAGATATCTTTTAGGTAAAGAAGCCTTGCCAAAGTCTATGAACGAAACAGCCATTTTAGTTAGCACTTTGGACATTATGTTTTGTCATTTCTTAACAAATTTTGGACGATTTAAGTCATTTATATCTCTTGAGTCTCCGAAAATTGTTTGGCATTTCGGCTTTAACACATAACAGGGCGTGGTATTTATGGCTCTACTGCTTAGGATGGAGCCTAGTTATCAGTTTTCATGGATGTATTTGTTGGTTTTTTGACAATAAGCAGTGTTTTTTCGGTAACCAAAAGGCTTGAGGAGTTGTGGATATGATAAGATTGTGGGAGCGGTTTTGCTCTACTATTCTATGCATATGAATTATATACTATGTGTTACTCTTATCCACCAACAAACATATTGACATCAGATCATCATAATTCCTTATCAGTTAGATGTTGAGATAACGGAAATGCACCTTGAAGATGTCTCCCTTTATCGTCTGTCGTCTGAGAAGGAATTTAAAAGTCAATACCGAAAGTTAAACAACGAATGGGTTAAAATGGCAAGAGCGGCTGGGTTAAAACCATCAGTTTTCTCTCTTCTCAAAGTTGACTTATCAACCTACATGTTCCGTCATGTACTTACTTATCAAAACTCTTGAGTTAGTATCCAGCGACGATCCATTGTTATTTAAGGTCAGACTTATCACCAGCTGCGTGGACGGGCCAACGGATAGAATAACGTGGTTAGTAACCCTAATACTTACTCAATTGTTAAAGTACATTCGAGCCCATCTGACGAACACCCAAATGTTCCTGGATCGTCTACGTAACGCGCAACCCAACAGCGCGTACGTAGTGGAGTCCTTCGACGTCACTGCCCTCTATACAAATGTGTCGAATGACTCCGCTATGCAACCATCCGCAAGCTACTTGTAGAACACGAGAGAGCAATAAACATCTACGGTTTCTCGATTCAGCAGTTGATGAAACTTTTAAAGGAGTGCCTAAACTGCTCAATCTTCAGATGGTCCGGGAGGTATTACGCACAAATGATAGGGCTGGCAATGAGACAAGGACTGGCAGCAAGCCTTGCCATTGCATTCATGTCTAAGGTGGAAGCGCCAGTAATCGGCCTCGGTCCGTTACTCTACTGTAGGTATATAGATGACTGTATGGTCGTTGGTTCAACACAAGAAGAAATTGACAAATGTTTCGAGTTGTTCAACGAACAGTCAGAGTATATTAAATTCACCCGAGAGAAACCAAAAGTAAACTAGCTTCCATTTCTGAACGTGCAAATTAACCAATCAGAAAACGGCAACGTTACGAAATGGTATCGAAAGCCAAATAGTAAAAACGTTCTGGTTAATTACCTCTCCTCTCATCCCTATCACACGGAAAGGGCGCTTGTGAGAAACATGTTTCGAACAGCAACCAACGTGTGTATGGGAAGAGAGCAGAGAGAGGAGTCCCGGAACTTGGCGCGGCAAATAGCAATTTTTAATAGCTACGAAACTGTAGCTCGAGATGGGTGTAGAGGAAACCACAGATACCCCAACGATAACTCTAACGACAATAACGTCCTGTTTATACTGCCCTTCATTTCAAATTTAGTAAGTACAGCTATAAAACGCTGTCTGAGAAAGACCGGTCTAAAGAATTCGGTAACGATAATTGAAATGCCACCGAGTAATCTAAGACGCCAGCTAGTTCGTAACCGCCTATACGACCGTCTATGTGCAACGCAAAATTGCATAATTTGCCCCAATGGTAGAGACGGTGGCTGTATGAGTTCGGGTACAGTCTATCTGATTCCTTGTAAAGCGTGCGGGGACGAATACGTATAAAATAAAACCTCGTGTTTGCTTAACAGAAGTAGAAAGGATCGACATCAGAATTTAGAAGCATTTCGAAGCTATATTGGTGTTCGTTTCTCTGTTTGGGTACCCGCCTATTCTACATTCTATTCTTTGAAAATTTAAGGAAATGAGCTTCTTATGAATCACAGTGTTCGACTTTCGAAGTTGGTCTGGTGTTCCAAGTTTTGCAAACATCTCAGCATCATTGTGGTTGTACTTCTTCTTAAACATTTATTCCTTGGAAATTTGAGTCTAATAGATTTAAGATAGATATATTATTCTGGGAAATATACGTATATGTACATCTATACGTACATATATATGTACACGTACATCTGTACGTATGCATATATATATATATATATATATATATATATATATCCGCCATCACGAGCATGGTGCTAGTTCGGTTCCATACCGGGCCAACCAAGCCTCATATCCCTCCTGGGTCTGGAAGTTGAAACCGGACTGGTCTGGAAAAAATCACTCTGCAATCCAATTGGGAATGCTCCAGCCCAGTTATCTCAAGACTCCAGGGAGAATTGCTCTATTTGCATTCTACGGCATTCAAGGTGAAAAGAAAATCCTCAAGTAGCAACCGAAGCCGCCAGTAATAACTTGGAAGACCTTCGTGGATGATGGATGCGAGGAAACGGATTTGATATGAAAAATGCTGAGATCCTCACAGTAGACGTCAAGATAGATCAAATAAAATAATACAAAATAAATAAATGTGTATATATTTATTTATTTATTTTGTATCTTTTTACTATATATCGTTATATGTTATTATATATCATTATTATATATATATATATCAATATCAATATGTATCATTGTCATCTTTGTATCATTATATATATATATTTATATATAACTTCTCCCATGGGTTGACCCTCTCCTGTGGTCCCGAAATGCTGCGTTTACTAGTATGGTAGTTGCGGAGAAACCAGTATAGTTAACTAGTCTACTGAGAATTCTGGCAGTAAGCCCTGGAAATTTTTTCAAGTATTAGTTTACATCGTAGTTCATTTCCCCACTAAGCATTGAAAGATCTGGTTGAGAACTAAATAAGGCCTAGTTATTAAATGGGATCGAGATAACGCTCATAATTCTTAATTTTATAATGTCGACTTGTCGACTGGAAGCAAATTTGACACGTTTTAAGCACTTTTTTTATATTCATTTGGCAACCACATGGAGCCGGAGAGGTGATATGTACCAATTTCAGGTATTTCTTTGAAAGCAAGTCTAGAGCTGACTCGCGTTTAGCACATGGTCGTTGATTCGATTTCACAACATGAGAACTCCAGTCGTTCAACAGTGGTGTTGGCAAATTGATGCAAGAGTTGTTTGAGAGCGTGATAAGGTCGGCTCAGTACATCGATAGGCACTGCGAAGTTGTTGTATAGGTCAATTATGCATTCGATCATTTCAACGATAGTTAATGGAGTTCATGGATCATGGTGCATCCTCCAGAGACTGACCACCTCTGAAGACTATACGTTTGTTGCTATTTCAACTGTAGGCTTTGTAACGTAGTGTGTCGACTTGTTCTCGCTTGCCAATAGGTAAGCTTTTTGTTGCGACGATATCGGAAAAGTACGGAATCGTCTGCTCACAAGGATTCAAGAGAGAAATTAAAAGTTGAATACAAATATGACTATACGTGTTAGTGAAACCGATGTACTTTGTGAGTTTTACACAATGTCGACTATCATCTCTATGAAGCTGTTTTTGTCCCATCATTGGTTGTTATTTTGATCATTTTTGAACTCTCGACTTAGTAATCACTTCTTATTTACTGCCTATTCTTTTTTTCATGGCAGAGTGTGGTGTGAAATGCAATTGTGTTTCGATACAAAGAAATTGTATTTCACATCATACCTTGCCATGAAAAAATAGGCAGTGAATGAAGTTGATTTCGACTACATCCTCAGCTTAACTGGGCGCAGTGCCGATTTGTGCTCCCCAGATCAATCCTGTTGACGGATGATTGCTGGTAGCAACTATCAAGGTCGGTTGAGAGAAAGGCGAAACGCGGAGCAGTAATGGTGTGGTGGTAAACACGTTAACCCTCGGAGACGGTAACAACAAGGTTCGATCCCTGCCGCAGGAATTTGCTATCCGGAGTTTTGCAAATATCTCAGCATTATTGTATCGACTTAGTGTTCTTCTCATAAATTTGGAAAGCCGCAATATTACAGCCCACTGCGGAGGAACTCCACGTTCTCGTTTCATTCCGTGTGTAAAGAGCTCAGCTGATGCATGGAATTATCTGAGACAACTTTTACGAAAGGTATGTTAATGTTTAGTTGTCTTCCTCACTTATGTCTATTTGTCTCTGTTTAGATGAAAGTTTGTGAGAATTTTTACTCAAGCACCAGTGATCCATGCAAAAATTGTGTTCCGGTCAACGATCTTAGCTTAGAGCAAGGTGAGTGGCCATGTTGTTTTTAAACTCTATCTGTAGTCGGATGTGAATTTTACATGATTTTATCACTTTGATGTAGTCTGTAGAATTTATAAATGGTACTGATGTAGCTATTGAAAATTCCATCATTACTAGTTCAATCTTCTTTAAAGAAACTTGTATGTTCTCTTCTACTGGTTTATAGTGAGTTTAGTCTCAATTTTATGAGGCCATAAGTCGGCCCACAAGTGGTAGCTTTTTTCAGTAGTTGTTCTTTCGCAGCCAATGAAGCAATGGACAATTGAGAAAGTGGCGAGTGAGTTGAAGAAGATCCTAGATCCTGTTATTGTTACGAAATTCGTTGAACAGGTTGGTTGTGTGTTGTGCTATTGTCTGGAAATGATTAGCTTTATAATACGCTTATCTTTGTAGCAAATTGATGGACGATCATTAGGATTGTTGACCACGGATCTACTTATGACTCACATGGGACTAGCTCTTGGACCAGCTCTCAAGGTGAGATTCGTGGTTCCTTCGTTTTTACTCTGGTCTATTTCACTAGTTGCTAAATTACTAACAGTTTTCCAGAAAAGATCGGTCCTGAAATTTCTCAACTACTAAATTTTTGCATTTTCTATTATGCGATCTTGTATAAATGTTTCATCTAAGTCTCTATTTCTTCTGACTATCTTTACTTTATTTTACTTTCCTAAAAGAAAACAAAGTGATCCAACCACATCGTGTTTTAAGTTCATATGACGGTTCCTCGATATTTATCTCATTAGATATTTGGATGGCCCGTCATCAATTGGTTGTGAGGCCCCAGCATAATTTCCTTTTCTTGGGGTTTTTACTGATTTAGCCATTGTGGTTCACTAGTCCCGAGGTCAGCATGGTCAAAGTTTGCCCCAGGTCGTCACCACCACAGCAGGCCCTTGTGGATCAGAGGGAGATTTGCCAACATGCAACTGTTGGTACCAGGACAGTGGATGATCCTGGTATTAGTTCTAGCTGGACTTCCTGCTGGAAAGGTCGGACTCCTGAGCTTGGGAGACCCTGCTGAGTGGATGAATCCCCAGCTGCACATAGTAACCCAACAGCCGAGAACACCTCCCAGACACGATGAAGCGGTAAACCGTTAGGAGGAAATTTATCTACGGTTTTCTTAAATCACTTTAAGAACGATTTAAATTGCACTCCCTCATTTGTTCTTCTATTAAGAGTTTCACACTATAAACTTTTGCAAATGATTGTCGAAAACATAAACTGGAATTTTTGTCATCCAGATGTGTCAGTTCAGTGAAGGAGTATTGCATTTAGGTGGTCGATTTTGTGCAATCAATGCGAAAGCTACAGGAGCGTCAACAAACAAGTGCTGGTGCTAGCGAAGCACGTGTCCCATAAGGTCAACGTGAAAACAGTCTCGTTCTCGTTATCTTACTTCTAAGCTCATTTTCTAAATGATCTTTGCTGTTGAACATGGTTGACAATCACCGATAACGAGAAGTGTCCTTTTTTCCTCTTTGGTATTGTATTTACTTCCTCCTAAATGTGCCTTGTCGCTGAAGGTCGGTGTTGAATTCTGGTATTTTGCACATGGTGTTCTCCCATTGCTACCTTTTATCTTTTCGCCGTCATTCCTTTTTCCATTAATTATTATTTCATGCCATGGAAATGAAGTTGCTTTATGGTTTGCAGACACTGGGTTCATTATCATATTACCATAAAAAAGGTGTCCGTCGACTCATTTGGACTTTGTCAAAAACACTGAGAACAGGTATCATATCAAACAAATACTACTAAATGCAGCTCTCCATGTTCATGAGTGCGAGCGATGTATTGAGTGGCTCTCGTGCTCGATAGGACGAAATATAGTGATGCTGTACAGAATGATCAATGCTTTACGGAAACCTGAAAAGCCGTCAAGTTCATTAAGTACCGTGGACGTCATCAAAGACATATTTGCGCTATGCAATTACTTGCGTGCGGTCTACAGATGTGTAAAGTTAGCGTTCTTGTCTTCCCGTGCAAGTCTGGTATGGAAGGATTGATAAGGCAGGCGTGCGGAATCCAACCGATGACTACATGTGCATTGCAGAGCACCACTACGCCACATATTGCAAATGCTAGCTATAAGACTGTAGTGAAAATCTCCTATAACAAAGAAAAGTATAGATTGGAATTTGCTGGTATAAAACTCTCATGTGTGCATCGTGCATTCAACGGTTTTGAATGACCAAGCTCATTCCAGTTGGAGTGCACGACGGTCATTTCTGCATCCTTCATTGATCAATTGCTATGAAAACCATTAGAAATATTCAGTAAATACGGTTCAGAATTTAACAACAGAATAAATTAAAGTATTTAACTCTCCATTTAATTCAAAAACAATCGGTGATTATGCCACTACCCAACAGGATCTCGTACTTGGCGGAATACAAGCATGTTTACTACGCCCTTATCATCGTCACTCTACGTTCAGCTCCAGTTTACAGACACCACAGTAAATTTTTTGTTGAAGAAATCAGCATAAAGAAAATAACCATAGTGTGCGGGACTGAAGAACTGTCAGCGAAAAACCAAACGTGAACAGTCCCATCTCCTACGAAACTACGTAGTCGTAAATATTTTTTTAAATCGCATTGTACAATGACCAGTAAATACTGCTGGACCACAATAAATTGGGGTAACGGCGAAACAAGGTAGTACCATCAGATTTAAAAAGCTGCCGGAGTTACTTTACTATTAACTCAATACAGGATGCGTGTGGAAGTGGTCGAAGGCGCCCTGCAACACAGACGTGGAAGCGATCCGCGCCTCCATGGTCCACCAAGCTTTCCATCCTTCCGGGGTAGCGAAATTGGTAGCAGACTTATCTGGAAGGATAGTAGCACTTGCTCAACACACCCGTAGGTCACCTCGTGTCATTGCAAAGACCAGATATGCACTATCACCTCCAAACGATTCTTAATGAAGTCAAATGGATGGCGCACCCTTCAGGGATTCATCAACGCCCAGAGCTTTATCTTTTATCCTTTTAACTCAATACCTCGCTTAGAATCATCCAATGCATAGTTTTTGACCGCTGACTAGTCTTCACAGGTTAAGTGAGAGTAGTTTACCTGTAACTGCTCAACACTGTTACTCAAATGTACACCATTTATTTATTTGGTCCCTACTTCATTACCATTTAACATATCCCAATTCGCAATACTTTATCTAAACTTCACATTCATCTCTTTATAATTTACTATTTATTTGATACCGACATAAAGAGAACATGAAGAACAAAAACAACTGTGGTGAAACGCGATTACAGGCGGGGTGTGTGTGTGTGACTCTGATTCGAAAATGAGAGCAAGGTGATTGGGAATGATACAAAAAAAATGACTAAGGTACAATTAAGAAACGGTAGAATGTACTTCACACAATGATAGCATTAATGCGACAGTATGAGCTTCATAGGTAGTGAGGAAGGACAGCGACGCGCCGAATAAGGAGTAATCAAATGGTCCCACTGGAGAGGAAGAACAGGGTGCGATAGGACGGCAACGATGGAAGTACACACTAGAAACTTCTCTAATACCAGTTACGAGATTAGTTGTGACGAGATACAACAACAGCGTGTCTATAAGAGTTACTGGTCACTGACGATGGTGTGTGTGCGTCTGTGTGTGTATCCATATGTGTGAACCATTAGGCAAACAAAAACGAATTAAACTGAGAACGATAAACCGGGACCATGTGAAAATAGAATGACTCTGAGAGAATTCAGCATTGGTGGGTATGATGGATGTGATGGACAGTGTGTGACGAATGTGTGATGAAAGAACAACGCAATATGACTATTATACAAATCATAAACGAGAGAAAAAACGTTGAACAAAACAATGGCGCGGAAGAGAACAAAAATGCGCATGACACAGATGCGGATAATAATCACACACGACCACGTGAGATGACGCGTCAAACACTCAAACATCAACTACTGAACCCATTCCGACGGCTGAACGGAACAAAGAACGCAAATATGAGTGGATAAGGAAAAAAATAGGACAGAACGTTAAATGATGATGGAAGGAAGCGAGGAAGATTGCAAACAACCCGTAACAACCCGCAGGGCATAGAGGGATGGTGGGTGGGGATGATGACTGAACGATGTAAATAAAAACGGAATCCGGAACGCGCGCATAATAGTGTGTGCAAAGACAAATGACACAGAATCTTTGCAAGATCACTTCACCACACTACAATTTAGGTACCTAGCTTCGATTGTGCACAGGCTACTACTACATTACTGCCATTCACAACATGGTAGCCACAAACCGGTGGAAAACGAGGTCATTTATGATCTCGAAGCTCAAAAAAACAGTCGTTTCTTTTAAATAACATTCTTTGACAAACACATATAACCCGCTATTTTCTCTGAAGATATACTGGAAGCCATTTATCAATAGATTTGCTCGACCCTGTAGTGTACAGCGCGCTTCAGCGCTATTAGCCTAGCCATCATCCAACTACCGACCATTTGGGATTACATCACCCCCGTCACGCTTCATTTGGTTAAGCTGCTGCAGGTTAGCGGTGAACGGCTTCGCGTACTGAGCGCCAAGACCTGGCAATCCTAGTAGTGCTGGATTGAATAACGATGACTGCGACGTTGGCGCTCCACCTATAGAGGCGTGCTGCGCAGCAGTCAGGCCTGCAAGTCCAGGCGGCAGTCCACCGGCTCCACAGTATCCAGTCGACATACGTTGCTGCTGCTGTTGTTGTTGTGCAGCTGCTGCCGCTTGCTGGGCACTTAATAATGCCTCGATACCGCTACGACCAGAAGCAACAGCTGACGACTGGTTATACAGTCTTAGAAGCGCCTCACGCGGATCGACAGCTCCAGATTGTTGCTGTTGTGCTGCTTGAGCCTGCACAGCTTGCTGTTGCTGCTGCTGCTGTGCCTGAGCTTGAGCGTGCGCTTGAGCAAACAACAGGTTTTGCTGTTGGTGCTGTTGCTGCTGGTGCTGTTGCTGCTGCTGCTGCTGCTGTTGCTGTTGCTGTTGTTGTTGTTGTTGTTGCTGCTGTTCCATATGAGCACGATATATTCCGAGATCTAATTGAGAAGGTTGGCCTGGAGTTCCCTGAGCCGTGTGCGGCTGAATAGCCGCTGCAGCAGCCAAAGTGGCAGCCCTGGTAGGATCTAATTGTTGGAGCTGAAATGGAGTACCATGAAATGTGAAATCAGTTACATCAACAACGAACCATGACATGCATACCATTTGCAACTGTAACAATTGCGCTTGGTTTAAAAGCATGTGTCCAGCAGCACCAGCTAATCCAGGTGGCAGGTTTGATATGTGATTTCGAGCAAGTTGTGCAACCTAAAGCAAACACTCATTTATAATGATGCAATAGTCGTATTTTTATTCTACGTTGGATATAATGGCGAATAAATGTCGTAAAATGAAAAGTCATGAACCGCACAAAAGATGCAGCTTCCCATTTTAACGACCAACTATTACCAATGAAACATTAGGTGAGAAATCTTCCAACCTCACTGCTAACTTCCCAACGAAAAATAAATAAAGAAGAAAGATATATAAAACAGTTTCACAATGCCTTACATGCTGTTGCTGCAACTGTGCTTGTTGTTGTTGCTGTTGTTGGGCTTGCAGTTCTCGTTGTTCTCGCTCACGTTGAGCTGCTTGCGCTGCTGCTGCCGCAGCAGCAGCGGCTTGTTGTTGTTGCTGCTGTTGAAGAAGTTGCTGCTGATGTTGTTGCTGCATTTGCATAACAGCTTGCAACATAGCTTGTTGTGCTGCAGCAGCATCGCTGGTACCATTCGTAATGGACCCAGCCGCAGGTGCCGGAGCAGATAAGGAGAGGCCAGCTGTGCCTAGGGAGGCAAATCCAGGAGGCAAAGAAAGACCGGACGGTTGTTGTGGAGTGCGTGGCATAGCGGACGGAGGCCGTTGTGGATTCATCTGCGGTTGTGGTGGCTTCGGAGTAGTGCTAAAGTAACTATTGGATAGGCATGATTTAGAAGGAATAATTGACTTGACCTTTTACAACTGCTACATAAACTACTGCCTAACTGAATCGAATTTCAATAGGTTGTCTCCTTTGTGGCAATGTTTTAGTAACAAAGGTTGATTTATCTCACTCACGCAGCAACACGTCTGGCTTCCTGTAGTGCTGAAAGCATCTGCGGATTACCAGAGAGTGTAAGACCTTGCAATGCTTGTGGCGGTAGACCCGCTAATGACGGAAATCTAAAGAAAATACTTATGAATTATATTATATTACATATTATATATTATGTATATTACATATTTATGAACCGTGTTCTATGCAATTCATGGATGCCGTGAAGCGCTCAAATGGTACTTTTTTAGGATGAGTAGATGACAATATTTGCCTTTTTGTTTTTTGACCCTGCTGTATAGAGCTTGGATCAACTTCACTGCAGGTCTCCCATGCACACTTTATATACAGTGGTAACTAAGAATATTTGCAAACCACGCAGAAGAACAAGGCACCACACTGCATCCGTCATTCGAACTCGATGCACAAATATTTGTGTCCCAGATTTCCGTACTCTAACCCCACATCAAATACTTCAGAAAAACGGATCAACGCGTTCCACTTTTATCACTCTTTCGAACCAAAAAATAGTCACGAGCTCAAGATTATTGTTAGAAATTTCAGGAGTTATACCACTTCTTAGTCATGAGATAGGACAAGGTAAAAAGAAAGACGGAGCAAATTAAATACTTAAAGTGCTATAAAAGTATAGCATCATAAAAACCGACTGCACGGACATAAATCGACTTTATGGACCTAAGGAAGAATTAAAGTGGTCGAATTTCAAACTAACCCAGCTGGAGCAGTTGCAGATGATGTCGATGGCAAGCAGTGTGGTGCCTGTGGTCCAACACCTCTAGCAGCAGACAATGCTGCATGTTGCATAGCGATATGTTGCGCAGCTACGACTGAAGTCGCTTCCGCACCAACGGACGTCGTCTGCGACGTGCTGGCAACCGTTGCCACCGACGGTGGAGCTGCTGCAGCCCGTACACGCTGTTCAGCCTGAACCACAGCTCCGGCAACACCTTGTTTGTCCTTCTGTTGTTGCGACTGCCGATAAGCAGCGATATCGTGTGCGATCTTCACATGCATTCCACACCATCGACCAGGTTTCTGTAATCAATAATGTAGACAATTCTTTCTAATTTTACCGTGCCAATTCCATTTTAAACTACACTTGCTCAATTTATGATGTACGAAGGAAATTTATACACTAAGTTTTTCCGTTCTGTTGCGAAGGTATTTGGCTAAGGAGGCTGCATGGCAATTTCACCACTTCCAGGCTCTGATGAAGTCAAACCGCCGAAATGCCAGCCAGCATTGTATTGAATAAACCTTGTTATTGACAACCTTGTGTAAACAATGTTGACGTTAATAGAAAATCGATGGGAAGTAGGAACAGCTATTTCCAAACCATATGTCTAGCTCTCTTCTCACTTTCCGCGTATTTTCTGGGGCATTTGAAGAATATGTAAGCAATTTCGATGAAGAGCTGAAGCCTGTCAACAAACGGGATAAGAAGAGTAGAGAATCCAAATCCCTCAAAAACGACAATTTCATACGCTTTTTTCACAGGCAGTTTGACCACTTCTGTTTTCAAAAAATAGCTCCCAAAGAATACATTATATGAATGTGAAGCAATGTAAGTGTTACAGCGTCAAAAAAAATGGCTAACAAAAAAAAATAAGCAGAAAATGCTCCATGCTGATATGGTGAATTTAAACGTAATGAAAGAAGGCATAGAAGACAGATGACAGATTAGAATTTAGAAACAAATTAACTCACCCTTGGTGCAAACGATGGCGGCGGTTGTGGCACTAATGGTCGTCCTAGAAGTGCTGCACCCGCAAGCTGCGGACCGAGAGCCGCATTCGTGGGGAACGGTAGTGAACCACCACATGGACCTAGGCCTGTTGATGGAAGTACGGGATTGCCACTGGCAGCCGCCGCAACAAGTGCAGCTTGCTGTAACTGTAACGCTTGTTGCTGTTGTTGTTGTTGCTGTTGCTGAAATCATACGACTGAGTGGTCGAAACGCACGCGATGAACTGTGAATGAGGAAGAAAAGAAGCGTAACCATGAACAACCACCCATTTTGTGCCCATCTACTAAAAATTAGGATTTCATACATTCATAATTTCTCAAAGGTAAAAAAAAGGTGCCGCATATAGTGCTCAGAAGTTTAGCAATGCAACTGAGAGCACAACAAAAAAGAACTACGGCTTCGTGTCCACATTTTCTGCTAGACGGACCACCTCGACTCCGCAAACGCTTCTGAGGGCAGATAAGACTAAAGTTCAAAAAGAGATTCGATATTCCGACCCACGCCGTTGGTGAAAAGTAGGAACACCACTGTAATGGTCATAAATTCGACGATCAGATGAACCAGATGATGCGTTATGCGACTGTACTACGATCACTGGACAAGAACTGCAAAGAACCAGTTCTCGTACAACGTCAGATAAATGACAGATCGTCCTCTGTCACAACTTGTTGGCGCGAAAATCCAAACGTGATAACGATTTTTTCAAACGTTTTTCTAACGAACGCAGTAAAGAGGACCAAGGGTCTCAAGTCAAATCGTCTTTAAAGAACTTACTACCTATTACTGGTGATCTTAGCAAAACCTGAGTTGGTTTACCATGGAACGTAATATGGAATACCGCAATTTCGAGGAAATAACAGGTCTTTCAGAACAGTCGCCTAATGTCCCTATTCTATCCGTCGTATTCAACTCTGCTCCCACAATATTTCGACTATAAATCAAGGACGTTATTTCTTCTCAGGATTTATGGTGCCTAAAACGACAACGGTGATTGCCTGCGTAATGTACAAAGCAATTATTCCGTTGTTTAGTCAATGACGATCGTCAATCGATACAATGGTAACCACTGAAACTGAAAGAATATCTAACACAAACTATCCAAACAAACAAACAAAGTAAACCGCTAATAGATCTGCTAACTCTGAAAGTCAGTTCCTAGCGTATAGGTCGATAATTCTGTGTTCGTAATAAAAACGGATCCAACAACGCAACGAGTAAATCCACGCATATATGACAGCTCTTCAGTTTGCTTTTAAAAGCAGGAACGCAAGTAAAGGCTAATACATTAAAATCCCTGTTAATTTCGGATATTGAATAGAGCGGAAAATAGACAGTGGCTAATTATGGTCCAAATATTTTTAGACCAGATATTTTTTCTGCACTAAAGCTCAGATTACACGAGTAGTGCACAGTTAAAGCACATCTGGTCAAGTCGGTGAAACATCGAACTCCGTGATATTTGTGTGAGGATTAGCCAACGTCGATCGCCTTATGTAATTCCTCCTACTCTACAGCCAAAGACGTAAGCAAAGATTTTCTTCATTAAACACCAATCCCGGCTTGTTTGCGACAAGAAATGTTATGTTCCTTTTCGTATACTGATCAACTGAGATATGTAATGTGCAACTCCAAGTTGCTAAAGTTATGAAGAGGCGGTCGAATGCATTGCTAGCAACGTCATCCATAGATTCTGCACACTAATGCCTACTATTTGAACACTTACTTATTCTACTTAAAAATGCCTTCACGGCCTATTACAACACTACTCTACATGAATCTGAACACTTAAGTTTAGACGTGATCGTCACGAGTGCTTCAGTACTTTGTCGCATACAGCGCCTTTCCCCCTCTGTAGTCCCAATGTGGTCATTTTTGACGAAAATAGACGTCGAGCGCACACATTCACATAAATCGTGCTATTTTTTCTTTGCACAAAAGTAACGAAAGAAAATTGTCCCGACAGAACAGACGAAATTTTTGAGTGGGCCATAAAAAAAGCTACGCCCTACTTTCAGTGCATTTGCACTATAACAGGAATTTGTAAAGCTATTTACGGATAAAACTAGTTAGGAAAACAATAAAGCTGAAAGGATACAGCTCTCGGCGTTGATCAATCCCTCAGGGATGCGTCATGTATTCGACATCATTGGGTATCGTTGGAGGTGATTGAATGCCTATTTGGCCTTTACAATGACTCGCGGTGGCCTACCGATGTATATAGCCAGTGTTGCTGTTCTCCTAGACAGGTCTTGCATCAATTTGCCGACCTCGAAAGACTGGAAGGCTTTGTGGGTCATGGGCGTGGGATCGATTCCACGTTTGTGTCGCAGTGGCGCCTCCAACGAGCGCGCCACACGCGCCCAAACGGAGAAATCTGTACATAGCCAGAATAAACAAAAACGTCCGGCAATTGAAAAAATTTCCTTGTTAGAACGCAGCTTTGAACATCAAGGTGATAACGCTTATTCGTATGACGTTGTACTGCAGTTCTTCTAACTTCCCAGCATAAAAACGGTTTCGATAAAAAATCAATTTTTCTGCGATAGAAATAACTTATCGTAAAAATTTGTTAGCTTACATGGTCGTATACAACGATAAGGGTCGCTTCCCATAATAGAAGACGCTTGCTAAAAGCTTGCAACCCTTCCTTGCAGTACCCTATTCGTCCAAGACAAATGAAGCTATTATGCACCGAGAAGCAGACAAAGAGAACCTGATTGACCATTAACCCCATTTGACAGAGAAACAATGTCAGTGTTATTCGTATGAATACAAAGAAAAGTTCTTCTTTTCGAGAATATTAAGAAACATGACCACGGTCTGTTTAAAGTCCAAATCCTATATGGCCCATTTTATCGTCGTAGATCCAGAAAACAAAAGCAGCCTTTGAGAGCAAATACCAGTCCCTTTACATTATTCACTCGATACGCGCCAACACATAACCACCACCAGTTCTCTGCTGGCTCATTCGTGTGCCTATGGACGATTACATTTGCATGGTAAATGAACACTCCCTCGCATAGACAACGTAATCGTCAAGCACCATGCACTAGACATACATGCCCTTCAAGTTTTCGCAGTCACTAAAAACAAAATTCGTGTGGGGGAAATGGAGTCTGCCCTTTCCGAGACTATGTGACGCACCATTAGAACGTAATTAGGAGTTAAGCACGAAAAATGGCGACTATGTACTGAGAACCAGGTTTACTCGAAGAGTGGACTGTCTGTCACTGCTGCACCGTAGAATTGACTTATGCCTTCCGAATATGTAATCAGTCACGCATTCCTCGTGCATACGGCTTGTGTTATGCATACTGACAGCAGAAAATATGCAATACAGCGGTTCGAGAGTACATGGAAAATGATTCCGTGTTGCATCCAATGAACGTTCACCTGTCCATTACAGAAGTGCTAGACAACCGTAAGCATACACAACCCTCAAACAGGCTACGCTAAGAATAGGTTTTTCTAGTCTACTTGGACAAAACGTGAAAGGTTGTGACCACAACCATCTTCCATCCCAAAACCTAATCTAATAAAGTAGTGCAATTAAATTGAGTAACAGTTTTCGACGAATTAAATTGCTTGACAAATTAAATTTGTCACAACTCTTTCCTTGAAAGTGCCCAGAAAATGAGATCTAGCACCTCAACACCATATGCGTGGCAAATTTGCACAAAACCTTGATCACTAGTCATTTGTTCCTGAACATAAACCACTCTACCCATAATATAATGACGGAAACTAGACGCTTATCGAGTATGAACTGGTACCCAGCAACTTAAAAAGTGAACAGAAAACAGCAACAAATCTCTCCGATTTGACCAGCATTCTGCTATGGACAATTTTTTCAGAGATGACTCTTTCAAGCATAAATGCTTTAGTTTTTGACCGATTAGCATGTCTCTGGTGAAATTCCCTTACCATTCTAGAGCTGAGCCCGGAGCTTAACGGAGCACAAATAGCACGTAATGTAAAAATGGCCTAATGGCCTTTTTTTTTCGACAATGTGCATTATGCCTTACCGATTATCGCAATTAGTTCGTGATGATGTTGTGCTAGCGTTATCCTTAAAAGTATTATATGAAATATCACATTATTTATACATATAGCATCACTAACAGTCCCCATATAGACTTACAAAGAAGTTCTAAGCCAAGTAAGTGATGACACTCTATTCGTGGAACGTCGTCAAGCTGATGGACTGTTTAGTCAAGCAGCTTTCGTATTTTTTAGGAAAACCTAAGCAAGCAGTAACAAGATTACTTAGATGACTTGAGAGCCTCAGCGGCAGGGCTATAAATCAGTACTGCGAAAAATAAAACGTGGTCCGAGATAGTGCGAAGTCCAGTCCAATGATTACATAATCAAGAACATTTATATTGATAGAAGCATTCTTTTCACCTCTGTGACGTTATTTAAACGAAACCTCAACCAATAAACAACCTCTGAAAACCTCTAGCCATCAAAGGAACATCTGGAAGTCACAGACCTACCGTACTATATATAAACTTAATGTTACACATAACAAATACACTCCTGGTTAACCCGACAACGGCCGACGAATAACGCATCCGACTAGATAACATCAGAGGTGAAACACTGTGAATCACCGAAAGAATTTCAATGAACTAGAAAACTGAAGTCAGTCGCATTCCAACAGTTCTAGCTTTAGGTTTTAGTGACGTTAGATTAAAAAAAAAGCAATATTACTAATACTGCTCATCAACTTTACAGCGATACGCAACTATTTTGGTCCCATTTCGCATTAATAATGTGTCGCCGTGATTCCGAATGTATTTACTATTCACAAAAACTGGTCGTTGAATCAACAAACCGAACGCAAACATACAAAGCATTTGCGTCTCTGTGCAAACATTGAGTGAAGATCTAAATTAATGACGCTATAGAGCACTGTTTCCAATTACTGCAGTTTCACCATCCACAGGGAACTGGGAAAGCGAACGGGACAACACAAAACTAATATGGCTATGCATACCGGAGAACGACAGACACTCGAAAACGATTCGGTTTGCTCCCAAGAACGCCTAATAAGTGTTGACGTGAAGTTCGAATACCTATGAGTAACGAAAGCCTAATTTGAAAACAAAAAACAGCATTCCAAGAGCGAAACGATTCAGAACAGAACTGGCAACGCTCTGTGTCAACAATGCGAAACCACCATTAATGGAGTAATATCATCGATTCAAGGTCATAAGAAAAAAAAACTCCAAAAAGAGCGCAAATTTTTAAACCTCGACACTAACTTGCTGCTGTTGTTGTTGTTGCTGTTGTTGTTGCAACATGTGCAACAATGGGATTGTGGCACTATTGTTGCTCGAGAAGAACGGATTCCCAGCTGCAGCAGCAGCAGACAGGCTAGCGGCCAGTTGTGGATTGTGAAGAAGTCGAAAAGGATCAACACCGAGTTGTTGGCTGTTTGCCAATTGATGTGACAGTAATCCAGCTTGTGTTAGAAGCGATGCCGACGAAGTATTCACGAACAGCGATGACGCCGGATTGCCAGTACCGCTTCCGGACGGCGTCGCAGATGATGTTCGATGTCCTGGATCCGACGGATGAGTGGCTGAAATGAGTCGAACATTAAACAGTCGTCACATATGTTTGTAATGAAAGCGTTCTTCAACGATGTTTTGTGAATAATCAAAATATAATGCGTCTGACAGCTACGAGAATGGCAAGAATTTTAAGGCTCGGGACAGTTGTATACGTAACGGTCATTTGATATGTTTTTAACCGAACACTGAAATATTCGAGGAATTTGTAATCACTTCTAAATATCGTTCGCTCACTGTGTCAATAAATAAATAATTTTGATTTAAAGTCGATGCTTTACATAAGTTTTATTCGGTGGTATAAACTACTTTCCATCGAAATCACAGATTCGTTCTAAACGTAAATAAACATTACACATCAACAAGCACTTGCACAACCTATCAGAACGTGTCCCACAACTTTTCTAGAACAAAATGTGGTAATCCCACGCTACTAATATTTCGTTCTCATGCCAAAAATTATTTCATCGTTTCTTAGCGAATTGTCACGACAGTTCTCATAAAATTGTTGCTAGTGAAAAACCACCAGAGACAGAAATTTCATACTTTTCAAAAACTGAAGACATCACTCAGTTGATTGACACGGTGCCGATCTCAAACACCTATTAAAAGAAGGGAAGTCTGTAGCTACTGTTATTTTCTCGCTTTTACGATTTCACGTTAATTTTCTACATGAATGAGTTAACACGAGGTTGCTACAGGCTTTTAGCCGGGCAACGTTTAGTTGTCGTCGCCTTCCTCGGAGCCAAAGCCACCTATACAGCCGAACAACAGTTTTTGCTAACCTCGTTAGCTTAATCATGTAGAAAGTTATTATTGTTGCTGAGGTTTAACGAAAGTCGTCGGTGTGCATGATTTCATGACATGTAGAGAAACAAATTACTGTATTCATTGGTTTATCCATGTGATGCTGCCACATACAGCTTTACAATGTCCCTTTTAGTCATACATTGGACTTGGAGCTTTCTTAACACCACATCAAAAGTCACATTACACAGCAAACACACACGGAGGGTCATACACATTCCAACGACACATTTGATGAATGCGATGAACGCCGCGCCCATTTTACAACAACGATAACAAAACCGATGCCACTTAATCCCAGATGACTGACATGTGGACATGAAGACCACTGTGAAAAAGAAGATGGAAAAGAAGAAGAAAAAAAAGAAAGACAGAACATGGATACCCTCAGAATGAAACTAGTGACAACAAGTGATCTAGAAAGTTAACTGTACTGCAAAGACACGTAAACATAGTATAATTGACGCCTCACATGCTTTGCCTATATGTGCTTCGTTCCTTACCGTATTAAAAGTCTATTTTTTCTTCTATTCCCATTAACCAAACCAACGTTTCGATTCCCCTCCCATAGAAGCGCTGACACAACGGAAATCTCCCTATCATCGAATCTGCCGCCGTTTAAACATAAGCGCTTTCGCAAACATAATCAATCCGGCGATCTCACCAAACTTCCTATAAAATACGCTTCGTTGCAATTCATTTCCTCCCTGACCATATTTAATAGTTATTTTTAGCACCAACATACCTAACATTCATAACAAGTTGTAATGAACTAGTATTAGTTCTACCGGGGATGTGCAAAAATGCAAAAAGCAAGTGTTTCGTGTCCCGTAGTGTTATCACATTCCTGTTTTCTACTGATGGCTAACTAGTTTCATTTAAAATGTAAGCTTTAGCTAAATTAACTGTTTAGTGCATTTCTATTGCTCATGTTTCTTTTCCAAAAAGAGAGCACATCCATTTTTACTATGAGACCACGCTTATTTACCTTTTGTGATTCCCATTTGACTTCATTCCACATTGCGTTCCTAAGTATTTTAGACGGCCTTAGACGTGAACTAAATCATCTCCAACAAGTCGTACCCAATTTCCTATCTGTCTCTCGTATGTTGCGGTTGTTTATCATTGTTCTCTAATATAAGTCAACCTCAAGCGCTCCGATGCCGTCACACTGTTTTCTTTGCCGTAATAAACATTACAACTAAAGAAGAAGTCGGATTAACAATTAAGAAGAGACGCGGAGAAATCAAGAAGATGGGAAGAAAGAACAAAACCGAGAGAGGAAGAGAGAGAGAGAACACAAAGAAGAAGTTACCGTTGTTATCTGACCAGCTAGAAATGCAACAGGAAAACCAACCATAACCTATTTCAATTGTTTACTCTTCACCACTTCCTTCTGAATATGATGAAGCATTTATCTCTCTCTCTCTCTCTCTCTATTTCTTTTTCAATAACGAAATCGTCTCAGAATAAAATTTGGGAACCCTCTTTCTATTGATAAGGAGTGCAGTTTCCAGAGAACTATTTAGAACTATTGATCCTATCACTACAAAAAAAGAGATTCCTTGCACCTGTGCAGAAGTGAACGATGCTCCCGAAACCGACATACAAACAATAAAAACAGAGCGTTATAAAACAAGAACTGAAGAAAATCAAAATACGTCAATTAATCACAACTGAAAGCCTATCTCTCCTAACAAATTTCCCGAAAGCATGGAAGCTCTCTATGAAACAATCTACAGCATCACCTCAGAATACTCAGGGATACAATCTATGCTTCGTGTTCCCGAAAACCAAAAAAAAACACCTATTTTTGTTTGAATTACAACGCTTCGTTTACGGAAATAATGAACTAATTCACGGACAGAATCCTAAAACTGGTTTACTATCTGCGTCTTTTCCACCTCCTAATCATATAATAGAACTTGATTGACAATTAAATGCATACGATATTCACAATCACTCATCAGGTGTCTCTGCAAACCATCATCGGATACCAAAGAACCCTTTGTGATCGTCAGATGATATAACGCGTGCCGCTCCGACAATACAGTAACTCTACCAGTAAGGTAGATGTTTTTTCAATGGGCCAAAATTAACTCAACATCGAGAGAAAACATCGAATCATTGGAAACACTTACATTCTGCGGATGTGGTCTGTGTTTTCGAATCGGCTGAGAGTGGAGTACGTGGCGTCGTCTGGTGAGCAGTACCACCACCCGGTGGTGTGACGACGCTGAGTGGAAAACCAGGCGTACATGTGGCGGAAGTGTCAGACTTAGCAATACCAATAATACCATTGCTGAAAACAAAAAACCCTACATTTTAGTTGTTATAACGTACGGAAACACAAAAAAATAATAGTTTTCTGCCGCTAGAAAAAGAAAGAAACAAAAGAAATGAAGCGCTTACTGGTGCTCAAAAGTAGCGCCACATTAAATGGACAGAATTCTACCAGGAATAAAGTACATTTGTGGTAATGTACTACATTAATGCCATAAACGACCATAACAACGCTTTCATCGAATCCATTTCTCGCTTTATTCAATGATTCACAAAAAAAAGCGCACTGGGGAATGAGAACGACAACGAAATCGTGTGATTTTATGTCATGGTAAAACTACCTAGGGCCAAAACCTCCGCTGAAATATCCTAGACGAAAAACAACTAGAAAGATATAAGTTGAGAAGATAATAATTATAGATTATACAAAAAACATTTACCAACACGTGAAAATGCCAATCCTGAAGTAAAGTAAAAGCATTTCGTCAGGCACTCAGTGAACGACTTCCAAGTCACCCATTTTTTCAAGAACACCGTCTCCCGCGCGTTGAATTTTGCAACCCAAGTTTTGAGAAAAACACCTGCTTTTCGTTTACATTCACCAATTCGAAGCATACTGCAGTTCTATGGCACATGTAGCAAAATGGTTAGAGCGCCCTGCCATACAAATAGGTTCGATCTCATGCTCCAGGTTCATGAAGCCTTCCATCCTTCCATGGTCCGCAAATTGGCACTAGACCTGTCTGCGGGGATAGCGGCACTAACTCCATACATCGGTAGGCCACCATGAGTCATTGTATAGAGCAGACTTGCATTAGTCACCTGTACCGATGCTTAATGAAGTCGAATCCATGGCGCATCCCTTAAGGATTGATCAACGCCGAACGCTACACCTTTACCCTTATCACAGTTTTAGCTTCGTCTTTATGTCAATCCTTGATTGAATTGCATTTCAGGCGAACATCACTACAGAAGTGAAAACAGCTCTTCCTTTAGAAATTTTGTAAAAGTAAAAAAAAGAAAGTTTCTGCACGTCATTACGTGCCGATAATCTGCGAATACCAGTCGGATGTAAGAGGGCGGATAACATATCACTTTCTTTTACACTTGCTACACTTCACATTACAGCATATGACAAACTTTCGACCATTACACATGCACATAGTAAGATTCTCATCATCACAGCAGTGTAAAAGCACGCCAACAGACACGAATCAAAAACAATTGGTCACGAATACCACCCCACAAAAGGCTCATCATCATTGCTTTTCGTCTCGAACCAACATTATGCAGCAGTAGCAGAAGTTTTTAGCCCAGTTGACAGTAATTCTACCGCCTCCTACTCATATTTCTAACCTCCGCTTTGCTAATCCACATATCTCAAAGTTTCTCCTGGGTGAGAGGCTCTTCACAAACAAGTACTTCGATGGTACCCCTTCCTCTACTAACCACCCCCACGTTTTTCGTCATCGATGTTCGTCAGCCGATCAACGTCAAGTGCAAAAACATTCTCCTTCTCGCGAACAATAGGCCCCTTCTCTCTGCTAGGGTTACGATACTTCCGCGCGCATCGCGCTTTCATTGTGATCATCGCTACGCGCGCCTGGGAAAACAAAGTTCGCACGGACGACGTTAAAGAGCAAAACATTTGAAATATTTCTAAAAAAAATACAAATACTGTATGAATATACCCATACTCAACCTGACTCGTTAACGAGTCAAGTTCGTAGGTGATTTACAACGAACATAAGATATAAATATCCAAAACATCATACTGAACATTATACAGACAACTACAGAATAGTGTATTCGTCAGCGGAATGCCAATGAGATTAGGTTCTATCACTTCGCCCTAACAAGCGTAGAGGAAGAACTTCTGATTAATACAGGATAGCGTAGAGAGGTCACTATGTATAAACTGCTATTTAAAATCTGATTAATATAGAACGACGTGGGAGACACGTTTCTATAAATAAACTGCTACTGGTACCTAAAAACTAGTTGGGCTATCAAGCACATGAAGCTTTTAAGCATATGAAACACTATTTATAGACGACAACTATGAGAACAGTACTGATCACAACGAAGCTGAGACAGAGAGAGAACAGACACAGCGTTTACCTCCCTAGTGGTCGAACTACGAAGGCTCATTTTCAGTTTTAGGATAGTTAACCGCAAAAACATAGGTCCTGATCGTTCCGATATCGATTAGATGGACTCACTCCAGACCGTGTCCGTTCACCACTCACCTCTATATCGCTTCCCGTGACACATTAAATAGGCAGTACGCTAGAACGACGACAGGCCGCCAGATGGGGTATAGTATGACCACGGAAGAGAAAGCAAGTTTTATCCTCGCACTATACAAAAAAAAACTGAAAAAAACAAGGTCATACGCTCCACCGGTCGGCCTCTTTTCGCGCGTCCTTGTTAACCGCCAGCCAGGTCGTTGTTGTGCAATTACGAAACATGCGCAAAAGTGAAAACGACCGTCGCCGCCGCAAGTCGCGCGTCATCGATAGCCGCCAGCAAGTTCATTCAGGTCACAACAAAACAAATGAAGAACAAAGACAAGAAAAGAAGAAGAAGAAGAGAAAATAAGAACAAATAACTATTTCGGACATACCGGAACGGCATCGTATCCGACTCTATTCGAGACGTCTTCAGCGGTGCTGGCGACGGTGTTTGACTGGCACCACGTTTCACTGGCGCCGTGCCGCCGTCCGCCAAAACGCCAGGACTTTTCATCTTGCGGCCACGTGAGGCCTTTGCTAGTTTCTGAATGAGAATATGTTAAAATGACAATGCGATGGAAAAGTGGTGTGGAATAATGAAGTGTAAACAAAAAATAGATCCAATAGAGAATAGCTGGACTGATATACTTGGATAGCAACAGGCAAGAACAGAACGAGGAAAACGACAGGAAGCGTTTTACAGGCGACCGACTGAGATTACACTGTGCATTTAATGTGACTCGGAGCCGAGTGTAGGCGCGAAGGATGAACAAGATGTACAAGATCGGCGTATAATCATAACTATAACAATGAAGTCAACGATCGGAGAATAATGACGAGGAACTAAAATTAAATTATCAGCAGAATTAATGTAGAATGACAGACGAGGACGTTTATGTTTGTTGAAAACCGACAACCACATATACAACTTAACCTAAGGAAGGAGTATGGCATATGAGGCTAACCTAAACCATTAATAATTACAATAATGATGAAATGTGAGCGAAAATCGGAACCTAAAGTGGACATCAAACCCGCAATTGCCCTTATCGGGAGCTCATATGCTATTCACAGCACCAATCCACGCCCTTGATTTACCGTTCTCTCAATCAGTTTTTACTCTGTAGATGTTACCAGCAATCACCCATCAGTGGGAATGGTCTGGGAAGCACAAATCGGCAATGAACCCAGTTAAACTGAAGCTGCAGTAAAAATCAAAATATGTAAGAGGAGGGTAAAGCAAAACCTGGGATTGCGGTGATGGATAGCACATGAGCCCTCGGGAAAAGTAAACAAGGATTCGAAGCCCACCATAGGTTCCATGTTTTGCTCACATTTCAGCATCCTTGTGCTTATATATCACATCACACCCTACCATGCAAAAAAGAATGGGTAATAAATAATATTTAAAACATTATGAAATGAAGAATAAAGCAGCAATATGAAACCCGTGCACTGAGTGATAATATCACCAGCAAACGATCAGTCTCATCAGAACCGGATTATCGGTAGGAAGAGGGATTATTTGAAAACACGGATGATAAGGCTTAATATGAGCTTTTACCTTTCACCGAATTATAAAAATAACCCCGCAAAAATTTGACAGTGATTCCGATGTTCTGTCATCAACAAGGAATTAGTATTTTGCAAAATGGAAATCTTGAATACAAAAACCACTGACAAAAATCCATCTTCAGTTGCAAAAGTGTAAGTAACGGGAAAACTTCTCTGAATCGCAATCAAGACATCAGTCGACATTCGCCATCCAATTCATCAACATCTACGAGTTACAGTCTGTTTTTGTAAAATGCACATATGCTTTCCCTTTCACGTGTGAACTCTTCCTGACTCATTCGACGTCGAAAAACAAAAAAAAAAGTTTTTCTGAAGCGAATGTTTGGAACCATCATCAGTGTCAATATTTCTAACTACCGTAACCGTAACTAACTACTTGACAGCAATTCATCACAAAAGTCCAAAGTGTGACGAAACTTTTGTGGGCCATCGGCAACAACGTAACATTTATTTGGAGTTGTATAACTCTTTGCATGTACAGTATGTCACGTTCCATGAGATGGTAAATAAACACACTAAAGAACAAAATTCTGTAGACTGCTCCATTTCTGGGCGTTGTTATTTACAGTTATCGGTAAACACTGGATCAATCCACGGACACCACGGTACACAGACAGTATCATCGAGACCAAAACCAAAAACAAGAAAACGATTTGAATACGGTAATTGGTGACGAATTCGCACGAGTTCTAGCACAATCGACGTCGGCCGGGGCGGTACCAGCATGCGATTTCACCATACTGCTTGTTCATACTATTGTAACAGCTGCGGAAAATGTTAAGTCCATCCACAAGAATGAATGTGAATGATACGTTGGTGGAATCCAAAGATTACTGAGCGAAAAGGAGCTTTAGAGGCGATACAAAAAGCCTCTCGTTGTATTTTTCTCGTCTTTCACTTTTTGTTTGTTTGAAAACTAACGAAACCAGACGAATGTGAGAAACTATAAAAGACGACGACATTCGATACTGGATATTGTTCAGGATTGAAGCCTGTTTTAGACACTGACGAAGTGTGTTTTTATCGTAGATCGTCAAACCATCATAAAACATTGGAACAAACGAGGGTTGGTTTACCGCCTTCATCACGAAACCAAAAAAGGCTAAGCGACGTTGCTGAGACGAGGAAAGTACTAATAGATTAAAGCGAAACAGCCAATCGACAACACATCGCGACAACAGCCGGCGCACATTAGGACATTAATATCATCGACCGAACGCAGTAAGCAATCACTATGTGAAACTACTAAGTATATATATCACTAGTAAAAAGTCAAAACAACAAAATCACCTTGACCAAAAATAGCCTCGAAATTTAATCACAGTAAAGTCGACGATTATCTCCCGTGTGCTGCTCTATAATCTTCATTCAGCTATGATAAATGAGAAATCTACACTTGGAGAACATTAGCGAAAATCGCTTACACTTCATCATAGACCCTACTGGTGGTACTTATATTATGAGTTACGTCGATGGTCACATATAATACTACTGAAGAAAACAAAAATAATGTCTCTTCATGTAATGATGTACGTAAAAACCAGTACCAGAGACGTAAGATATACGACTACAGCACACGTATGCATTACTTCTTATGGGTTATTTCGAGAACCTACTGCCAGTAAGCGGCGAGAAGAGTAAAGAAGAACGAACTAGTTCGTTGCGATCTCTTATGGATTACTAAGCGATTTATAAATGTGTACTTTAGTAGCCTTATTGGCACCTACACCTTAACAAGAAATCAACGGTGATGATAGCAAAATAAAAGCCATTCACACCAATCGATTTAAACATAAAGAAATAGGAAAGTGAAAGATTCGAAGATTTAGATTAGTTGTGATTCATTAAATCCAGAACTAACCACACCGCTAGCGAACACGTTAAAAAATAAATCTTCACATTCGAGAAACTTCTACGGAAGGGAAACATCTAGATGAACGTGAGAATTGACATGCATTAAGCACGAGGCAAATGAATTGAGGGAGAGGAAGGGAGAGGCAGTGAATAAAATAGGGCGACCGCGAATGGCGGCAATAGCGTTCGCTGCTCGAGTGGAGACTATAGACGGTTCGGCGAGTGAGATGACGAACGAACGGAGAAAACGAGAAAAAGAGTGGGTCCGGTTAAAACAGGAAGCAGAGTATTAAAGACAAATACAATACCACTATTTCTCGGCATATTTATTCAACACAGACACACACATACACACATACACATATGTATACGGAGCATAATGCACCACAACGTTACGCTAGAGCGCAGAGGACAAATAAATGACGAAGACGTCGTCAACGCCGCCGTCCGTCCGTCGGAGAGACACGACAAAGGAGGGAGTGACGGAAAAACGCTGAGTGACATTAAAAGTTTATCACGTTTACAGCCCACATTAAAATCCACAATACGTATTGTTTGACGACGCAGAGAGGCAGGTCGCTGCAAATGTGATAACAACGGAGAAGAACGAAAGCCAGGCGATGAAGGAAGCGATTGGGCGCGTCGTCAACAACAAACGGAGAACGAATGACAGCAAGGGAGATAGAGTTGTTGGTAAGATGGTGGAGAGTTACACAAAACGATCTATGAACTGCTTGTTGATAACGGTCAAAGGATAGGGTACGAAGTTTACGACGATGACCAATCCATTCAAGCAAAAAAGCGAACGCATACCAAATGTGTTCTTAACTGATACATCATTTTATATTACATCCACCGATGGACAACACGATAAGATCCTGTGAATCGGAAGCGTTTCGTTCAGAAAATCAATTGGTGAAAAATGAGAACGACCCGGCCGAATTGATCATATCAGTGGCCTTTTAGATACGAATGGCGCGTGACTGATAAGGCGGAGAAGAAACCTTCCAAAGCATTGTTTTACAAAATTTTTGGAACAGAAAGACTATCAGGTCAGATCAGGAGTCTATACAAGACCAAAAACGTACTGCACCGTCGTCCTATCCATAATAAAACTGATTACAAACCATTTATGTCGTTCCTTATTAGGAAACAATAATAAATGTAGTCAGAGCAACGTTTTCGAGATGAATGAACCATAACTCTAAACATTTACTAGTGGTTTCGTAATCTACCCAACTGTTATGTCACACAGCAGTAACACCTTATATCCACGTAATATAGTAAATATAAGTACTGCTTCTGTATAAAACAGCAGTAGGATAAAATACGAAACCACCACCAAGTGTTTTGAGTTGCAGTTCCCGTAAATAGTAAAAACAATGACATGTACACATATACATATGTATATAAATGTGCATGTATATGTGAACACATGACGTCATTCTATGCATATATATGTATATATATATATATATATATATATAGTTGAAGGATTTGGGTGGCGCCGTCTTTGTCAAAACCAATAGACCAACAACGATAGCAACACAGGCCGTATCAACGTCTCGTCAACGAAGAGTGCGTTCATCAAACCGAGCATCCATTTCTACCACAAAGATAACGAAACCGGTCCGTCTCTACGCTCTTTCCGCCGCCGTTTCTCTGTTCGTTAACGCAAAGGCGTGAACGACCATCGTCGTCGCCGTCGCAGACGCCGTCGTTGTCGTTGTCGTTGTCGGTCGGTCCCATCACGACCACGTACACATACATCGATGCGTTGCTCAACTTGAACAGTGGAGAGCGTCGTCAATTTCTCCGGACAACAAATAATACTATTATGGAAGTAAAAAGCAATAAACGTGATAGAAACAAGAGTTGTCCTCACGATAAACACTGCAGAGAAGCCGATATTAGAATCTTATGAGACGGTTGCAAATTGCATAGCACTTTGATGACTTCACATTTGCAGATAAAAACACCAGAAAATGTCACGAAATATCCGGAAAAACAACTGGACAAATGCTATTTCCAAACAAGTCAATCCAGTTGCAAAGGCATTCACTGTCATTTCAAATTCCCTAGATACACACGATTGGACTCATGAAACAAGCACCCCGGACAAAGACGAATGTGACTTCCATCAGAACTCATTTTTGATGACCGAGATTTTCAGCCATATAATGAATCTGACAACAATAAAAATGCATTTTGGGTAAACGGGACCGACAATCAGCTTAGAACCCATGCAGAGAGGAATCTGAAAACAATTCCAGTTTGGTTCATAGTTTCTGAATAATCGATATGTAGAAATTGCTTTAGAAGTGTCACAATGAAAAGTATATTGAAATGAGGAGAACCAACGGAGTACGAACACGTCCTACGACCTTTACAGTACTCACATTTCTTCACAGTTTCTCTTTGAAATGTGTTACCGTAGTGCTTTAAAGGTTTACTTCACAATATTATAATATCGTGAAGTACAATGACCGAACAGGAACAAACGAGTAAAAGGCTGAGGTCAGTATTTACGGCAGCTATCCATACACAATACAAAGATAACCCACACCTACATACACTTCAGCATCATACATACTTACACATACACACATCCTGCAGGCCGGCCGTCTCCAATTCGCATCGATTACCGCGCGCGCGGACAGCCATGAGCAGCTGACTTAATTTCGTTCTTTTTCTTTCATGGTAAATGAAAGCGATAAAATCGAATTCGAGCTTGGTGGCAAACGACACAACAACCACAGCGCGCAGAACCACGAACGCGGCGAGCCGCCGCGATGATCGATAATGGCGATATGAAGCGAGCCGAGTGTGGAGTGGTCGCGTGTTCAAAGTGGTCAGGGAGCTGAATAGTATCACTCGCTGACATCACGATCACCATGAAAAAACTACTCCCCAGCTTCTAATTTCACATTATTATGTAAATGGGCCATCTAGTCAAGGACACTGGAATTGTGGTGTAAGAAATCGGCAGCGCAGCGCTCAGGACGAACAGCAAAAAAGTATGAACGTCCAAACCAAAAAATATGACTTGGTATACGTTCATAATCAGGTTCCAATTACCGGTAATCACAGGGTAATTTGCCATAACATTCGTTAAACACGATAGAACGCAATACGACAGATACAGCACGCACATTTGCGATATAATAAAAACCCCGTCCGTGTCACACCGTCGTCGGGGAGCGTCGCAATCGATAGACACACAATCGGTGGCGCTGCATGGATACCCTGATGACGGGACAGGTTCATTCATGTAATGTACAACACTATCAGTGGAATTAATGCTATTCACCTACTAAACAGCCTATGAATTTCATAACATTCGTTTACTGTGCTAGTATTGCGCTTCTAAACGTCCCATTTTATCGCATGGTTACTAAACACGTTATCACTTCCAACTGAATGACTTATCACTTGATAGAATTCAAGGACCACAACACGATCACAGGTGATCTAGAAGTGTGGTCTGTGTTGTCAAAATAGCCTTTCGGCATATCCCTACTCTGAGCAAACTTGGTCGCGATCCAACCAGTTCAGCTCTTCTGCATGTGGAAAGAAGATCTACAACGTCGTAAAACTCCAAATGACGTATGTTACGGTAGTTCAGTAGTGAACAAGGATACGTTCCACCTTTTTAATGTTAAATAGCGAATTCCTGCAATAACGTATTCACCAATGCCTGTATTCCTTAAATTATCTATGTATCGCAATTTCCGCGTTTGTGTGTGAAAAGAAATGTTTCGATGGCTAACCTTTTTAGCTACGGATTAAAACGCTACAAATTAGGCCAATGACTTACCTACTCGGTGAAACAAGTTTAAAATCGATAAGGAGGACTGCATTGTCATTTCCAGCGTCATCCTTCAAGTGGGGGAACATTGCAAAGCTCCCCCTAAAGGCAAACAAACAACGTAAGGGACAAAGATCAGCACATTATTACTCGCTCGACGAGCTGTTCAAGCACAGCTAATAAAATCCACAGAAGTGGATACGTGCAGAAATCGGAACACTGTCGCTTTCTCACTGTTGTTGTGTCTATGTCATCAAGGTTGTAATATTTGAGTGCGGAGGAGCTGAGCACCTTACCAGAGAAGATAATCTGATACTATCACAATTCACGAAGGTCAATCCGATTATAGGTTTAGTAAATGTCGTGTTATTTTCGAGCAAGCCTTCATGATCCAGATTCCAACCATGATAATCTCCTCTCACCGTCAATCGATAGAACAGAGAGCGGTGTTTGGTGATACAGTGTGAAAACAGGCCACATCAGAGCCATCCATACATCCGTCGTCAGTGAACTGGACTAGCCACTTCGTCTGCTGATAGAATGGATGATAGCAACGGTTATCGATGAATCTCTTCCAATAATTGTTCACCGAATTCACAGCATATTATTAGCAAAACTGTGAATATTTTAATATATAGAAAACGAAAACTACAGGTCAACTGAGACTGCTACCTAACGCAGTACGCTATTAGTTTCGGTTTGGTTTATGCACCTAAGCACACCCTGTTTAATGAGCACATCAGCAGGGCTACATGATGTCACTTACCATTCGAAAATGTCTCTGCTAATCTCCGTGGGTGCAAACAAGAATGAAGCGATGTCGTTAAGATTTTAATCGATTCACGTTGTTGAATAGAAAGGAAATGTAAACAATACTCAACGCTGAGCAAATAGATTAACCCAGAGCAAATATATATATACATGTATATATATATATGCACAGCGATACATGCACACATGCCGACACACCGTGTACAAATATACACATTTATATATACATACACGCACGTACACCAAACGCTATCGAACAAAAATGCTTAACTCTCTGGATACTAGGTTATCAGTCAACGTAGTCAAATCGACTTCGGAACGAAACGAAAACACCGTCGTAGTCGAGGCTGCTAGCCGACGTCAATGACACACACCCCGTCGTTATTGTGGCGCTCGCTCGCCAGCAACCAAAGATCGCCGAGGGCGTGGCTGAGGGGTGGGGCGGGTGCGCGGACGACTGCAGTTCGAGCGGACGACGTCTTCAGAAAGCGTCAAATGCCGCAAACGAAAAAACCATGACGACGATGAAAATGACGACGATGATAACGACGATGACAACGACGATGGCGACGACGACGACGACCACGCATCATCGGCTCGTTTTCCCGCCCGTTTTCTTCATTTTACACACAGAACACGCGCGCGGAAACAAAATCCTTGTTCCACGTCGGAACGCGGCAGCTCGGTTATCTCTAAGACTGCAAACGGAATCGACTCGACCAACATTCAATAAAGCCCATAAGGAAGACGAAACCCTCAAGCAGCAGCTGAAACAAAAAACAAATGTTCGGAAGCCACTGTGGACAGTAAATGAGAAGAAGACGAATCGAATGTAAAAAAAAGATAGGATCGGCAAAGCATATGTAATGACAGGTCATGTAAAATCTAAAAGTTATATATACACGTATTTTTGATAACTGCAAGACAACGAAAATCGAAATCGATTATTTATAAGGAAAAGGACGCCCAGCGGACAACTAATAAGCACAATAGCCAATATAAAAGTTGTCGTTAAGTCTGCAGGCACGTCATTATCGCCTCATGGAACGCCTATGCGCAAAAAACATTCCACAAAAACTTAAATAAATAGGTTAACCGCTGGCATTAAAATTTACTAAATAATGGGACAGACGAAATCAGAGATAAAAAACGTCTAGTCATTTTCTTTCCGCGAATCGTAAAACTTCGAACAAACGGGCGAAAGGGGTAGATTGATAAACTTAATGAAGCAGTGTATAGAATTGCAGAAAGCAAAAATTACCAGTATGGGAGGCCAACATCGATGTAAGCAAACTGGACGCTGCCCCACTAATCACACTGACTTATCGCTGACTAAACTGAAGAATAGCAGCAACATAGTAGGAAAATAAAGCCAAGAAAAAAAACATGTGTTCCATGGTTGTCCGAACTATCGGAAAAGTTCTGTTGTAAATCTGATCGTTCGAGAGTGCGTGCGAAATAAGCCCGTCGTCTGTCGAAGAAGTGAAAGTCTCAGTGGGTGGTCGACTAACTAACAGTTGAACTAACTAGATCGGCTGCCTTTCTACTAAACGCCAGCAACTATTCTATAGTTATTGATCGATCAAAGACATAAATTTCACTAAACAGAGAACTGGTACGATGAATGGTGCTGTGTGAAAATAAGACCACATTGCCGACCTGATTCGAAGTTACTCTGAATACAACAACGCATGAACCGAACTTAATCCGACTGCAGCACCGACCCTTGTCAATGTTAGACCAATCCCAAATTAGTTTAAAACCAAACTCTAAAGAAGTGGAAACTAAATTTCTGTTCTGGAATTTCCACGAAATCATGGCAGAAGCCGACGTCGACAATTTGGTGAAGCATAGAATTGAGTGTATAGGATTAAATCTCGTTTTTTCACTCGTTTCGCGATTCGAAACGAGGGCGTGGACGAGAAGGAAAAGTGTTTTGTGGTTTCCAGAATATCAAAATTTCATCTCAGCCGAATAAGAGAACTCTAACAGGAAAAGAAAGAAAAACGATGAACCGATAAGAAAATTGTTCATTGGTGATGAAAATTTAATAACCACAGCTTCTTCATTCCATGCAAGCATTAAGCCCACATAATTCAATATGCATATCTTGCACGTCGCACATTGCATTTTCTTCTCTGCACTTTCTTCAACTAACGGATATTTGGGATTAGGACCATGTGAAAAATCGAAGAATACGTAGAACCACCAATAGTTTCCCAGAAAGAAAGAAAGACGGAAGCTAATCCTTAGGCTATGCTGAATACGGGTTTCCATAGAGAAATTATGTAGTGGAAGAAATCTTCCTAACACATACATAAATGATGAAGCAAGACTTCCTTTCTGGATGTCGGCAACGTCTGTCCAAGTGTAACACCTTCGAAATTATCGATATATTCTCACTTTTTCTTTGAATAAGATATGATCTTGTTAGAAGTAGTATGTAACAGCCGACACTGCAGAGTTGCTGCACTAGGCCAATTGCTCAGTTGTACTTGGTTGCAAACTGCAGAAACACAAACTGACATGGAAAACCCCCAAACAGCGTTCCACCACTTTCACAAACTTCACAAAGATTAGATTATGGGCATTCCAACTAATATGTTTAAATCGATGTATAACAGAAGATTTAAGCACGAACATTGTATACAAGTGGCGTGAACGTTGAAATGAGGTGAACTGAGCAGCTAAGAGGTGTCTCATATTGCACCACACACAACGACGACGATCGATGCTCACGCTCGGTTGCTGCGAGAAAGGCGACTGGCAATTGGAAAGACCGACGATTGTCGAGGGGTTGAAGGGTGGGAGGGTCGGATGAGTGTGGAGCACGGCGGAACGGAACGAAGTTCTGTCAGAACACGTAGAATGCGAGGAACAGCGAACACACAGTGCGAAGTGGTGGGCGTAACCCCTGATAAAAATGGTCACAGCACGAAGTTAATACAATAAATATGTACTTAACTTTCAATTCAGTAGAATTAGTAGAGTAGAATTATGTACTACTGGAAATTAGTTCCAGTTACAACAACAACAAACTTTAATGCCTCGTCTTCCAAACCCGAACAAGAATGCATATCCTGAGAGATTCCGTTTACCACTTTCAATTTTCAAAACACCTTCCACATTAGGTCTTCATGTAGAGCTTTTGTAACCACTAGGCAGGATTCATGAGAGTGTACAATGATATAACATTTATGACGCATAACAATGGTGGGTGACATGAGCCATACATTGAAAATTTTTTCGACATTCAAGGAGTCATAAAAGTGATGTCCATCGATTTGGATCGCTGCATTTCTTTCTTTTAAACGAGTCATCATTGAGAGGACGGTGAATCCTTGAACTGGCTTTTAATTAGCCACTTTCCGATTCACTTATTCCAATACAGTTCTCTTGCTCCGTGTTGAGATCAGCTGTTTTTTGATCAGCAAACAGCAGCAAAATAAGATTTGATCACGTTGAGAATACCGAACCGAAAGACAAGGTTTTTGTACGAATTATTCACTAACGAAGTATATCATGTCAAATATGATATCAATCCCAACATGAAGTACATCCACTGCCAAGTATTGCCAGTAAATGCGCTCGAAGTGAGGGGCTATTAGTCCCATATACATCAAACAACAGTTTTCGAGAAATCTGTTGAAATCTTCTGCGGAAAGGGTTATCATTTAAACACATCGTGTCATAGACCTAAGTGTTTGATTTTCATTACATCATCAGCATCAAATAACCCACCTTATCTAGGCAGATAACTATCACCATCTGTAAACCCATTTGAAAAGGAAATGTTAAACAACTCACTGATTGCAGTCTTTTTTAATAACGAAGGCTGGAACTGCTTATAAAATTCCGCTTCTATAATGCCACGTTAAATAAGCTAATAATTTACTGAGCGATGAACTCTAGCTGACCGTAATTGCCAACTAATCAATAAATACTAAAAGCCGATTAGTATTGTTCACCCAACTTATTTTGCTTGATAAAAAAAACCGTTCGGAACCGGCAATCGATGATGACAGCCTAATTTTCCCACCATAACTAGCAGAAGCTCTCCTCTCTCGTTTTCTCAAAAACAGGAAGTGGGATGGAAATAGGACGTCGTAATACTCTTTAATCACCATTAAAGTATTGCATTTCTAAAGGAAGTGAGAAGTAATAGAATAAGTTATACGTATTATATTGATAAACAATCGACATAACACACACGTAAGCATACACACATACACAAGCATACACATACACATAGAAGTGCACATATAGAGACATACACATAGACATGCACACAGACACACACACATGCAAATGTACGCACCTTTGCCAATGTTTGTGCAGAGATTTCGGTTTGAAATAATCTTCATTGTTTCTTGAAATTAAGACATCGTTGTCATTAAATTTCCCTTCCTCTTAACATTAATAGTTTACTAGCGTTGAAAACGTTAAAAGAAACCGTCACTTAACAGTTTTCAGCACATGGCGCTATGTATCCGGTCTCTAATCATCAAATGCTCGTTCAAGGTCAATACGAAAAGAACAACTTTCTTCAAGGTCCGATAGCATAATAGCTCAATAAATGAAATGTTCAATGGTCACAAACAGAAAAGAATTCTTTTCCTCCCGTTTCTTTGCTAAACTCCTAACGTAGACTCCAGCTTACCTCTGACAACCTATTTTCCAACTATAGTAATATTTCCGTGACTGCCGTGAAACATTTATTAACTATCAATTTCCTATTAATGAGTTTCGTTTTTCATACACTTGTGAAAAAGATTTTTAAACCGAAATTCGAGCTTCGATCAAGTTAAAGCTTAACGCTTATCACTTTCTTTCTTTCACTGTGACGTTGACTACGGGCTGCTTGAAGAGCACTAGATCCAATTTGGTGTTAATAATCAGTCTACAGACAGTCCAACTCGGATAACCTTGGGCTTTAATGTTATGTACGAACTTCATGTCCTTGAAATTCGCTCCGCACGAGATAGAACACACAAATGTGGACAAACAGCCTATCCATCCGTCGCCCATCCGACGGACGCGTTTATGTGCGGACGAGTCGCGCGAAACGGTGGAAAAACCAAATATCAATGGAAAATGGATCATCGACGAGTATTTGTTCAATGTACGCACATGCTCTTCACTCGCTCACCCCACAAACACACTCACACACACACAACATAAATTTCTCGTGGAAGGGAGTACAAAAGGAGAGCATCTGACACTACTTGAAGAGTGAATATGTTAAGTAAACAAACGATCAGCGTAAAAGGTTAACGAGGAACCTCCGATGAGATTCATCATCTTTTAGCCAAAGGCCACAAATCAATAGAAGTAGAATAGGTGACAGAGAGTGATGGCTACGAAACTCAACAGCGGCCTAAGCGGAGGCAATCCTGAACATTAGTAGCGTTTTTACAACTACAACTAAATCCTACATTTAGAAAAACAGAAATTCTAGTTTCAGTTTCAAGAAATCTAGTATGTCAACAATCTTCCTACTAATTCTAAACAAGAAGCATGACATAAAAGTTAAAAGTAAAACTGACGTAAGATTTTTCATCTTTACGAAAACATCTGCAAAGGCCGATTACTAGTCAACTTGGAAAAAAAAGACCAAACAGCATTGTAAACTATTTTCTCTTTGGTCGCTTGAATATTTGTTCTATGTACCCTGTACTACGAGTTTCTGGGAAAAAAAACCCATCAAATTGAAGGTGACCCACCCCATTAAGTGTATTCGATCCAACGAAGCTATGGAGACACTAAGATTCGATGCTTATCGAGAGATGACACAAATAGTCATTCTCTTTACAGCTCAAGGTCGCTATGGTGATTTAGCAATGAAAAAGAACTTCGACAAAGATTTAGAAAAAAAAGCGCTTGCGTTTAGGCGTTTTAAGAATCGGCGTTGTTTCATATAGTTCATTTGTAAGTAAGAAAAGAGAAAAATAGGATGGAGACGGGTAAAAACGTGAGAAAGAAAAATGCGTTCAGCAGAAGCGATCACAAAGAAATTCTCGTCACATGTCTGGAACGGCGAACAACTAAAAAACAAATGAGAGCAACTAATACTCCAAGAATGAAATGGTTGCTGCTGTTGGAACAAAAAGAAGAAGATGATGATGAAAAAAAGTCGGACAACTATAGACGTTGCGAACTGAGAACGAACGATACAGCGATAAATGATTAACGGGTCGGTCAGGTTCACGCTCTTATCGTAGAGATGTCGATCTTTGGTATGGTGTACTGTGGTGATATTGGAAGGTGAAAGTCAGAAGGAAAAACGAGAAACAAAAAGTACATTATTCACTAGTACTATAGATAGTTCACTGAATTAAATGGATATTCTAATAGACTATTCAGATAATATGAGGTTGATAAAAACGTCTATTCGGCTAAAGTTTCAACGTCTTCGTTTCCAGACACCAAATTCAGAGTATGAACGACCGTGGTACCATCGACTCGGATCATAGGCTCCGAGGAAGACGAAGACATCGAAAAATTAGCCGATTAAAAACCTTTATCAACTCCGTGTTGGCTTAATAATCCGAGAAGATACTGATTATTAATGCTGAGGTTAAATGACGGTCAGTTTGGAAACTAAATGGATAGAATAGATAACCTAAACTGAGTCACAACTGAGGACGCCAGTCACCGAATCACAACAACAACTAGCACCAACCTCGTGTCAGCTCATCAATGGCAGTTGGTAAGAAAAACGAAAAAAGTGGAACAAACGTACTGTGCCCAGTAGGGAGGCGGCGGTCGACGACACAGGCCCACCCAGACCACCCCCGGCGGCGGCGGTGTCCTTGCCCTTTTTCGCGGCGGTGGCCTTGTTCGGATCGTTGCGCCGCTTACGGCCTCGTTTTTTGTCTCGTTTCGCACGACGCGCTTCCTTACGAACCTCGTGTTCCACACGTTTTCTCGCTTTCTCTTCACGACGACGAGAATCGGCTGCCTGAATGAGAACATTTTGTAGTGGAGTCAGCGTTTTTTTCCTTCTTTCTGGGCAACAATTTCATCTTTATACACGTTTATTACCCACTGAAGCGAATCGCTAAATCATTAATGAATGAATAACGGTAAATTCAAATACTTACGGAATGATCAACCTAAACTGAGTGCTTTGAAGAAGACTATAGACAAATAAATCTTTTCTTAAGATGCATAAAGGATAAAGGATAAAGCTCTTGACGTTGAGAAATCCGCGCCATACATTAGACTTCATTAAGCATCGTTGGATGTGACTGAATACATATTTGGTTTTCACAATGACTTGCGATGGGCTGCCTATGCATCGAGTCAGAGCAGCTAACCTCCCAGACAAGTCTGGTACCAATTTGCCGACCCCGGAGGAATGGAAGGTTTGGTGAACCCGGGATGGAACCTATGTGTATTGCAGTGCGAAAAGTGGCATAACAACTTAAAATGAATATTTGCTTTCTTAAGAAATCAAATTTTTCTAAAACGACGAATGATCGATCAACCACAGAAAAATGACCTGTGAATGTTGAAGTGTATAATATTTCACTTTTTTTTCTCATTCAAATTGCATATAACTAATGAAACATGTGTGTTAACCGTTATAATTCGGGCACTTTTTCCTCAGTACATCTGGTAGCACTGAAATCCAATGGCTGCAGTTCAATCAACCCTGTATGGAAACTCGTACGAAAACTTTACATCGCAAAAGTAAAAATTATTGAACCGAATGAGACCAGACACAGAATGACACAGAGCATAGAAAAAAACCGATGTTGTTGTTCGCCAGAAAACATCCGTCAAACTTTCCTCCTCCCTCGGCTTAACACCGTGTAGATAAACTGCCGTTGTGTAACTTGAATTTATTGCAATGTGATAGGAAAATTAGTCTCCATCCTTCATTTCCTTAAAACACCAATTTTCTTTTGCACATAAAAAGTGCACGATTAAAAGTGCTAACCACTTGAATGCCGATGAAGCATTTATGAAATTGGAGAAGAAAAAAACTATGAAAAGATGTGATGCTTTCAGAAAGAAGAATTACTGCCGTCCAAATCGAATAGAACAAGCAGAATTTCTATTCCATAATTTCTCGGAATATCGATTTTAACAAACCTTAACTTCTGAACCAAAACACATTCAGTTCACTGTTTAAACCCACAACGGACGTGCGAGCAACGTTTAGCGTGGCTCTCCGAATACACGCAATTTTTGGTCGGATACGAACTTGCTGGTTTTTGGCGACAAAAAGTAGTTTTTCCACAGTTACAGTGCTTTACTGGCTGTGAACATGATAGAATTGTAGAACAGTGCTGTGTCTTAGTATGGTCCATTATGCAAATGTATTGCTGTCAACACTTGGAAGTTGCACTTTGCATCCTATATTGAGTCTATTTCGGTTGGTGTTCTTTATATTTGAACACTCAATTCGATAACCATGACGATTATTATAAAAAAGAAAGTCAATTGTTAGTCAGGTAACTTGTCAGGGAATCTCAAAGAACGTTTTTTCTTTGCAAAACACAAAGTATAGAGAATGGCTTTTCTATCTCATCCCTACTATTTTGATCCGTTTTCCATTAGCTATCGAACGAATGAATATATATAGTGCGGTGAAAAAGTTCTGAAACGCACTGAACCCAAAATGGACTACATTATTCATACCGCACCCGGATCTAAACGCGTAAGAGCGCTATTAGTGTCCATACAGCACGTTACGGGTTAACACTTTCACAACGGTGGTGACTTTTATAGAATTATCGAGAGTTCTTCGATAACTAAATCACCTGAGTACGCGAGGACTTTGTAGAGTTGACCCAATCTGCTCCACTCACTCTCTAGGTGTGCATAATTTTTCTAGAGTGCTGTTTTCATTTTAAACTGCTTACAACCTAGATTTTGGAAATAAACAAAAAATTATGGGATTTTAAAAATCTGAACACAACTACGACAGTTGGCATCACAAAAGAGTGGCAGGAAATAATTACATCTTCCTATATGAAACTCTGTCTGCTCAATCGCCTCTCTGGCCGAGTTACGAACATGGACAAATGAAATTCCGGGATAAAAAATAACTGCTCCAGACAACTAGAACTTCATTAGGCTAAGGTATAAAAAATTGCACTTGTTGGCAGGAACACGTAGATTCTAAGAGCTTTTATTTCTACCAATAAATTCACTGTAAACTAAGACACGCTTGTTTAAAGTTCAGGCAGGTGGAGAACAAATATTTTTAAGTCTGCATGGATCACATAAGACCACAATGTAGATGATGTGTTGAACTCTTAGAATTACTATTATAGATGTGCAATTCTGGCACACCGAAAAAGAAATTCATAATAAGACTGACATTCTCTGGAATCTTCTCACATGCAATCCACCACAGAATTCGACGGATCATTTTGTGAGGTTTTAATCAATTAACGGGTATGATTATTAAAAGAGAAGAAGAAAACGCAACCTGTAGAGCCTTCCACTGTTTCTTCAGTTCCTTGTCGACGATGACAACTCGTCCGGCAGCTGCAGCGGCTTTTTTAAGAGCTTTTGCTTCACGAATCGTCTTTTTCAGCGCGCTGTGTTGCGACCGTCGTTCTCGACGTAATTTCTCACGCTTTTGAGCTCGTAGACGTTTACGTTGAAGACGTGCAGCTTTCTCGATCAAACGCTACAACAATAAAAAATTAGCATCCGGTGTACCTAAAATTTACAACGACAACAAACAAAGATTTCTGATGAGATCCAGTAAAAATGTAGTTAAACACGCACATGTCATCACTTTTGAACAAGAAACTAAGAAAATAAGTGAAGTATGTGTATAGGAATTCTATTACTCCAGAGAAATAGAACCACAGATTCGAACAACTCATGATTAGAACCACTAAAATCGGCGGAAGAAAAAGAAAACTTTCCTAGTACTGTAGATAAAGTATGGAGCAAACAATCGCGTGTACCTTCTTTTCTTCTATACCCTCTATAAATACGGACTTCTAAATACAAAGCATACACAGAGAGAGCATTTGGCCATTTGCCAAGTGTAATGTGATTAAGAGAACATGAAAATGTCAATATTTGCGGCAAGATTTGTTATCAGGTAGACAGCGCCGATGACCTCATTGTCACTGATATTCAGCTCCAAATAAAAGACGTAAGAAAAAAAACGCTGCAATACTTATCGATTAGACTGACAGCTTATGATAAAATGGATGATGGAATAACGGAGACCAATGAACGATCAACTATGAAGAACTTTCAGGAAATCGCCTTCGTAATCCAGGAAACCATTAGCGCTCAACGTTCTGCGAGCATACTGATTCTGTCAGACGCACACAACGCAGGAGTTATAAGTGCTCTGTAATGTACATGTGGTTGTTCGTCCGATCCCGTGCCCCGGGTTCATCGCAGCATCCATTCCTCCCACCTGGTACCATACCTGTCTGGGAAGATACCAGCACCAACTTGATACATCAGTGGCCATCATAAGTCATTGTGTAAGCCACATATGCATTAAATGATCACTACGATGCTTCATGAAGTCCAGGACATGGCGCATCCACCAGGGTTGATCTAAGAAAAAGCCTTGTTATTTACTTTCTATCCCTGGTTCTGTCCACAAATCCTATCTCTAACAAATCACTATTTAAGCAACCACCATCAGCAAATCATGCACTAATCTCAACGAAAAGAATAACGACGTTTCTGTCATTGTTGCAAAGTCCGCTAATAACAAACAACGCTTATCATGTGCACGGCTTATCATTAGTCGACAGACAGCCACCCCGACAATAACAGACAATGAGTATCAGGGAAAGGAAGGAGAGAAGGAGCTCCTCTGACAAGCGCTAGAAGACCATGCGTCTCTCAGTACATGATGTCGGCATGCATCGCGTTTGGCTCGAAGTTCACTCCTAGTTAGCTCAATGAATGAAAGTTTGGCTAATAGCACACACAACCGTTTTTCACGATAAACGAGCGCAATTTCGAAAACTTCTGCTCATTAACTTCTAGATCGGCACAACTCTCTCGCAGTTCAAAACGATGTTGTTCGAAAAATGAAATGAACAAACAATACTCACTATAACAGAAAAGCGACTGATGAAAACTGATCTATGATTGTGATAGAGCTACGCCTGTTCAGACATGCGAGCCTTTCACGTTCCTTTCCACCACCACGGAACACACAGACATGGGACAACATTAAATAATAAAAAATAAAGGATAAAGCTCTCGGCGTTGTTCAATGTCTGAGGGTTGTGCCATGCATTCGACTTCATTAAGCGTCGTTTGGAGGTAATTGAACGCATATCTGGCCTTTACAATGACTCGCGGTGGCCTACCGATGTATCGATCTAGTGCTGCTATCCTCCCAGACAAGTCCGGTAAAAATTTGCCGACCCCGGAAGGGTGGAAGGCTTGGTGGGCCATGGGCTCGGAGGCCGATTCCACGTGTGTTGCAGGGCGCCTCCGACCACTGTGCCACAGACACCTCTATGGGACAACACAGAAACAAAAATCGTACACGTTAGTGAAAGTATTGTTGAGATGTGTACAATTTACTTTCGTAAATTTCATAGAATCTCATAGTCCGTGAAAGTCATTCAACTGGAAATTCAACTGCTAACTCCGACTAAGTACTAAGTACTAATGGACCAGTAGAAAACTAAGACGGAGTTCGTAGTCGACGCATAGATATTGCACACAACTTCCAAACTACATTCTTTCCAGTTCAACTGCTTATCTTAAGCAATTTCTTTTGTCACAATGCAAAGGTCGTTTCACTTCAGATGATCGATGGGTTTCTGAACTGTGAATGATAACAATGAGAAACTTTGTGACAACTAAATCAAATTCGATGCAGTGTGGAAGACTTCACCGCCATCGCGGTACTTTCGGTGCTGCTCTCAAGGACTACGAATTGTTTCAACATAAGCCCCTCTCTAAATAACAGACCAACGATTCGCACAGTTTCTAATAGAAGTGATAATGTCAACACAGAAAAAAAAAGAAAAAGAAAAAGGAAACGGGGTACATAAACATCGCTGGTAGCATCTCTAAGAATTGATAACATATCAATGACTAAAGCTATTGTTATTGCTGTGCGCTTCCAAAATGATGATTAGAATTCGAAACAAAATAAAGAAGATCTGCGGAATGTGAGAATAACAATTCCAAGTCATATTTCTGACTAAGAATTTCATAAACGTTTCTCAAACGGTCTTGATCACAACAATATTACAATAAGATTAAATGATTAATGAAAGTGTTGAGATGACTCGTAAAAGGACACTATACTATGACCTTACAAAAAACTCACCGAATGATGACATGCAGGTACACCAACTGGAGATGACAACTGTTGAATCTTAGATAGTGACTCCACCCCACTTACCCTTACAAAGTGATTTACTCCTAGACTAGGGAATGGGAACGTTCCCAGATGGATGTACCGGTGTAATTCATCCTCCAGAAAGGTCTTCCAAACTAAAGAGTTTATCACTTTTGTTTGTAAACATAACAAAGAGTAAAATAAACCATAGCAAGGCTATCATGAACCTTCGAAAGAAAGAAAATCGTATTGGATCAGCAGATTAACAGTGGATGGAAATTGTCTAAGAGTCCTAGCGATTTTTTGTGAAGGCAAGTCAAGCATTTTTTGTGCGTGTTTATCAAGTCTAAATAAATAAACAATGAATAGAATTTTAATTCGCTTTCGTACGAAAGTAGATGGCCTGCATAAACGACGCTCTCGGTCTGATGAATTCCACACCATTCCAACTATTATGACAACTCATTTTTTGTTGCAAATTGCAGAAAAGTCTCCAATTCCGTCACTATTTCGACAGATACTGTAAGAGGTAAATCCGAAGCTGCGCTCTTAGATATAGCACACTCCAGAAAAAGAATTTAATTAATGTAAAGTACGGAAATAACAATGAATTTGTAGAAGAACACAGCCAACTGCTGAGCCAAAAGTCTTGACCACATTCCAAGATGAGGTGATGAAGACGCCCACAACAACAAATTAACTTAAAACCATGAACGGAAGGAATGCATAGATTCAGCCAACGCACCAAAGTTTCCTCTTCTGGAAAATTCTGGAGGCCGCAGTTGTAGTCACCATAGCAGGATGACTACTATAGCATCATCGATCGAAACAATTTGATTCTATGTTCAGATCTTATCACCACAACTGACAACAATTCACGTTTTCAATAATGCTTATAGTTGTTAAGCCCGATCGCATGCAGTAAAAAAGCGGAGCAATTCTACAACGGAAGAAAACTGTGAAACAAGAAGTAAAGTAGGAAATAAAAGATATAAAACAAAGTAGCTACAAAAAATCCAAGACAGGTTGAAAACAATGGAGTTCGTATGAAACAAGGACGGAAACGGTAAGGACAACAGCGCGTGTTCGTTCTCCATTGCATACACCTGTGGTCCGGAGTTTTGCAAATATCTCAGCATTTCATACGAGTTATATTTCACAACATACCCTGCCATTAAGAAGAAAAAGGCAGTAAATAAAAGAGTTAAGACAATGGAGTTCGTTTTTCAACAACACTCCATAAAATTAAGGAAACCCAACAGAACTCATGAACAGATTTCAGGTGAACGCTTACTAAATTATTGATAGGAAGTACAACTACAAGGATACTGAGATACGAGCAAAACTCAAAACCTCAAATAGGCTTCGAACCTGCGATTCCCCTTAGCGGGTTTTCACGTGGTATCCACCACAACAATCGAGGTAATCGTAGCTTCGAGGCACAATCGAGGCTCCAAGTTTTGCTCATATCTCAGCATCCTTGTGGTTGCACCACTTCACATCATACCCTGACATAAGAAAAAGAAGACGCAGTAAATAAAAACCAAAACATTATTGACGGAATTCCATTCTGGCAGCTCGATGTGCAAAAGCCAATTCTCCTTCACCTTTATATCTTAAACAACATAATAGAACTGCAATAGGTTATTAGTCGTAACAAAAAAAACATTGTAGAACCGTCAAAGAATTGAACGAGAAGAAATCGGTCTCTTATGTTTTCCCCATTTCAATACAACTCTAAAGGACGAAATCCATATGGGAAAACAAGATGGTACTCTGTTCAACAAAATTCCTCTTGAACAACAACCAATTTACAGAGGTACATTCACAAACAGTTTACTTCATATCTTCATATTTCCCGGACAGTACGGAAACAAAGTCAACTTAATGTTAATGTTAAATGAATCATTTAAACATTGGAACATATCCCCTCGATATATCCCATTTCTCGCCATATTTCTTCCTCACTTACGAAATACCGATCCACTTTGCTCGATAAGTAGAAAAACACCAATGTGTGCGACAGCATGAATCACATATAACTCACACAGTAGGAAAGAAAAGATGATTTGACCAAATTTACCATATGGATCAAAAAACATGTTCAGCTCTGAGTGTGACAAGTACTGAAAAAAACCAAGGAAGTACCTTGACGGGAAGAAATTCATTTTTACTATCCAGAACCCAGTACAAAACCGCAGCATACAACCTGATTCGTTCTCGGAACCACGTTTTACAGTATCATATTAAGTGAATGTTTGACTTCTACGTCAATACACTGAGACGGCGATTTAACCGTTAATTCGTACTTTCAGTTCTCTTTCTTCTCTTTCGAAATGACT